GCTGAGCCCGTGGCTCCTGTCGCAGAGCAGGGAGCTCAGGGTGCAGCACTTCACAGCTGTGTCCATCCTCAGGGCTCTCTGAGAACCTTCCCCTCCTTGCAGAAGAAACAAACTTCCCAAAGCTGGTGTCTACCAGGCAGTGGTTGAGTTTTTCTTGACAGCCATGTAGAAAGGAGGCTCTAAGACAGGCTGGGACTCCACTGACTTCCCCTTCAGAGTGCACGTTCCTGCTGCCAAATATCCATCTGCAGACTCTGCCCGGGGGTGCCTGAACAGAGACACTGCCACAAAAAAGCAAATTAGTGACAAATTCCTGACACCTCTCAGGGGCTGCTCTGACCTTCACCCTCCCCTCTTAAAGGGCCTGGGGAAGTATTTTTGTTTCAACGTTTGGTTTCACAGCTCCATAAATTTAAATTCCTCTGCACTGGCTCAGCCTTCACAAGCTTCATAGGTTTTTTTCTGCCCCCATAACACTGAGCTGCCTTCTGCTGTGGGTTTTCCTTCCAGTTCTGTGTCCACAACCACGGGTGGCCTATGGAAGGCTACAAAGCCCTTTGGATGATAAAACGTGGTACCAGATCAACGAGACTGTTAGTTTGGGATGTGCCCCTGGGTACCAGTTTTCAGATGATGGGAACATGTCTTTAGAAGACTCCTGGACAGCCACGTGCCTGCCTGATGGCAACTGGACACCACTGCCCAAGTGTGTAAGTACCATAGAACCACAGAATGGTTTGGGTTGGAAGGGCCCTTAAAGATCATCCTATTCCAATGCCCTGCCATGGACAGGGACACCTTCCACTAGCCCAGGTTGCTCAGAGCCCCATGGTCTGGCTGAGTGCCTGGGTGGATGCTCCCTGACATCTAATAAGAAAAATAACTGCTTAAACTTCTCAAAAGGTTTTTCTTCCTGCTATGGATGAGGGATGAAGTGTTGGGGCTGTGCTGGGACAGGTCAGCCTCAGAGCTGAGGGGTGGGTGGCTCTCCATCTGCTGCAGAGCAACCTTATAAGCTTGTTTTCTGGGGTTTGTTTTACTTTTTAACAGAAGAAAGAAGATGATGCTGATGTATGTGAAGAGGTTCACTACATTAAATCAGCCTTTGGGTGCGGGCTGCCTGTAGCAGAAGTGAAAGCTCTGCTGGAAATCCAAAAACTGTTTCTGGAGATTAAAAAACTAGAGGTGGAACTAGAAGAGTAGAGCAAAACTGGAGTCCTGTAATGCACTGTAACAACCACATTTCCTTCGGTGAACACAGATTTCGTGCAGTCACAGTATCTATAAAAAGGCTCTGGATGATTTTATGGTTTGTTTTTGCACACCCAGAGCCAGAAAAATTATCACCAACGCACGGGCGGTTGCTTTTATCGTGCTAGATGCCAGAGCAGGGAGTGGTTTTCACTCTTTCCTTTAAATCTGACAAGCTTGATTTGCTCTTTAATTAATACCTTGTTTCGTGTTTTATATTAGGCAGCATAGCAAGAAATTAAATTGAGCTTCTTTAAGTCGCTGTGTTAACTGTGATAAGCTGAGATAAGGGGGAGTGAAGTCTGCAGAAGCTGAGATGAGTGTCCAGAGGTTGTCCCTGAAGGTGCTTCTGCTGGAATCTTCTGGCTGTGGTTTGTGTACACGCTGCACCCTCTGCATTAGGGGTGCTAGAAATAGTGGTGAAGTAAGTGTTCAACTGCATGATTTCCTGTTAATCCAGCTGATTTCTCTTCAGCCAGTTGAGGGCAGTTTGTAAGGACATGTTATCTTATCCCTGGACTTAAAACAGGCAACAGGTTTCTGGCCTTGTGCTGGTGTCATCTTTCACATCCCTATTTCTGGCACGTGAATGCTAAGAATAGATGTGATAAGTTCAAGTGCAGAGAATTAGGCAGCAGAGGTTGTTCCTGTTCCTCAATAAACACTGATCAGTTCGTGTCTGTCCGTGTTTCAGTGGTTACCCCTTCCCTGTGGGATTGCAACAAAGGTGGGGGTGTATCCATGGAGGGGAGAGGTGTCTTGTAATCTGTCGTGTTGGCTGTAAATTGGGCAGTTTTCCAGCGTGGTCCAATGGTCCTGGGTCAGTCCTGGGGTGCTTGGGGAGCTACAGTGGGCTCAGCACAGCCCTGAGTCCTGGCAGCTGGATCAGCCCAGGCTCGGTGGGAGAAGGAGGAGCATTTACCTCCTGCACAGGTGATTTGCAGCAGTGCATCACTGCCAGATGTACACCTTTAGAATTTACTAAAATGAAAGCAAAACACACAAAGGGAGAGATGGTGTCTCCCATCTTTGCACACAGAGATGCTTTGGGGATGCATCACCACACCCAGGTGAGGAGATCTGCAGTGAGAGGAGCTCCCAGACCTGCTCCAGCTCTCCCTGACCAGGAGATGAGCAGGGCTGCACCCTCCCTGTGTGACACCTCCCCACTGAGCTCACGTGGGACTGTGGTGTCTTCCTGTGCAGGGCTTGACACCCATAAATGTGAATAAAAACTGGGTGGCACATCCTGCGTGTGTCTGTTTGGGCAGTCCTGGCTGATGTCAGATGGGATCTGTCAGAGGGTTAATCAGGACACAGATGCAGTTGCTCACACCCGTTCCTCATTGCAAATGAGTCAGGCAACGGAGAAAAAAAATAGCAAACAAAAAGGAAAATGTTTTTATTTGCTTCACTAACTCTGCTCATGGGAGATTTGTACTGCATTACCTGCCAGCAAATGAATGAGTAGGTATTTTCCTACCCTGGACACAGCTTTGGGCTGGGAGGTGTCTCTTCTGCTCTAAGAGCATGTGGTTTGGTAAAACTGTGCTAGTCAGTGCTCACTGCCAGTCTCAGGCCAAATAAAGGGGTTGAGTTATTCCCCCATCCCTCATGGTGGAGCAGGAAGACCAGGAGGCTCAAGCCTGCTGGATGACAGCTGTCCCCCACCCTGGCTGCTCCCCGTGTCCCTGACAGACAGTTTCCCTCTGTGGGTGTTCTGGAAAGGTTTCCACTGCTCCTGAGGCTTGGTGGAGTCTGCTGCAGTGCATCTCCTCCTCCCAGCTTTGGAAACAGCCCCTGGAGCCAACGGTGCTCGACGGAGGAGCTCAGGAATTGCTGCAATGAAGTCTGGAGGAGCAGGGCTGGGCAGGCACCCAGGCACCCTGAGCTGTGGGACACCCACCAGGGCACAGGGGTTGCTCCTGGCCTGGCTGGGGCTCCTCAGCTTGCCTGTGGCTCGTGGTGAGTATGGGGCCATGGGATGCATGGGGAGGACCAGAGAAACCTGCCTGGATCCCATCTTGCTGCTCAGGGGCTGGGGTGGGTGATGCCACCACCCCCAAGCTGAGGACCCAGTGTTTGATGCTCTCACAGCCCTGCCTGGTGCCTTTGCCCACAGGGGGACCCTGGGCCATCCCAACCACTCCCCTGGGATGCTCACTGGGGCCAGGGAAGGGGCCAGGGAATGGGATTCTCACCCCAGGAGGTCTTCTCCCGCCACAGGTGACTGTGGTCCCCCACCTGTCATGACCTACTCCAGACCATCCAGCGACGAGCACTTCAGCAGCTTCCCCGTGGGATCCAGAGTGACCTACACGTGCATCGAAGGTGCCCTCAAAATCCCTGGAATGCCAGACATGGTGGAGTGCCTGCCTGGCAACCTCTGGTCCAAGCTGCCCGAGCCCTGTGGCCGTAAATATCTCCTTCTTCTGAAACACAGCTCCTGTCTCTCGCTTGGCTTGAAATTCCTGCCCCTTCCAGGGGCTGCTCTTGTGCTGTCCCTGGCAAGGGACAAACCTTCTTCCCTTCCCTGCTGCTCCTGGGGGTGCTGGTGGCTGCAGGGGCTGTGCCTCTGGGAGAGGGATCAGTTGGAGGGGGGCTGGGTGCTCGTGTGCTGCCCCACAGCACATTCCTGAGGCTCCTGATGTCCCACTAACACTGTCCCCTGAGCACTTAATGCCTCTCCACCCACGCTTTGGTGCATTCAACAGCTCAGCAGGCCTGGCAAGGAAACAGGATTAACCTGCAGTGAGCTCAAGGAGCTTTCCAGCAGCGCTGCAGCGAGGGCACCCCTGTGATCCCAAGGTTTATTTGGCCAGTGAGGGCACCCCTGTGATCCCAAGGTTTATTTGGCCAGCGAGGGCACCCCTGTGATCCCAAGGTTTATTTGGCCAGTGAGGGCACCCCTGTGATCCCAAGGTTTATTTTGCACACTCCTGGTGGGCAGCTCTTTCAGGCTGGCTCTCCTTGGCTGCCAGGGAGCTGCACTACCCCGACCAGGCTGAGGTTTGCTGCCCTGTCCAAGGAGGATGAGGTGATGAACTTCTTCCCTGTGGGCACCAATGTGACCTACGTTTGCCGTCCTGGCTACGAGAACACCTCGCAAAGCTCCCCCACCAGCACCTGCCTGGAGAACCTGACGTGGTCAGAAGCTGCTGAGCTGTGCAGGAGTGAGTATCCCAAAAAGCAGCCTTGGAGTTCAGAGCAGGTTGAGTGTCCGCTCCCAACCTGCATCCCAAAATGCAGCCAGGTCATCCTCATCCCAACAACTCCATTAATACAATATGAGGTGGATATTCCTTGACATTTCTATTTAAAACTGAACAGCAGAAGCAGCAGAAGTATCAGTAATGTTCCTTTTCTTTTCCTGCTGGCATAAACAGATATGGTTTGATTTTCACGTTAGGAAATGTTTGGTTGGACTTGATGATCTCAGAGGTCTTTTCCAACCTTAATGAATTTATGATCCCAAAGATGTTTGAGTTGGGCACGTGCACAGGACAAAGCCTAACTCACTATTCTGGTAAACTTCAAAATGAAAACAAGGTGTGTTTCTTGGTGAAATCCAGGGAATATTAGGACTGATGAGGTGACAGCAATATTTTTCCTGTCCCTGATCCAGCCTTTTTTGTTTCCCCATCCCCCTGTGCCCTGGTCTGTCCCCTCAGGAAGGTCCTGTGGTGCCCTGGCAGCACTGCCTGGGGGGAGGATGGTGCCCCTCACAGACCTGCAGTTTGGTGCCAGAGTGGACGTGTTCTGTGAGGATGGGTGAGTGATGGGGCACTGCCCACACCGGTGCTGATGCTGGGATACAGCTCTGGAATGAGACACAGCTGGAGGGAAGGGACCAGGGTCTGATTTGTGGCTGCCTTTTCCTTCAAGTGCCCAGCCAGAGGAAGTTTAACTGCCCCAGGGCAGGGTGTCCATCCCAGCAGGGCCATTTGTAATGTCAGTTTATAAATACAGACTCCAAAACAAGCTACTTAAAGCATTTCAGCTTAAGTTATTTGTGATGTATTGAAAAAAAAAAAGGGGTCGTGGTGGAACTTTTAAAATCCAGTTATGCTCAGCTGGGAGGCTGCAGTGAAGCACAATTTCCATCACTCAGGGAGCTGACTCATGGCTGCTGCCTGCTTTCAATCAGGGTCCACAAGCACTGGACTGACCTGAAAAATCCAGCTCTTGCCACTCCAGCCAGTATTCCTCCCTCCCAACAGGAACTAGCTGGCATCATCTGGCTTGTCATGCCCATCTTCAAATATAGCAGAGGGGTTTTTTCCTCTCCCTCGGGACCTGGAGAAAATGACAGCATGTCCCACCCTTCTGGGGTTCAGCTCATCTGTGGAAATCCACACCAGGGTGGAGGGATAATACTGTTCATCTAAGCAAGATCAGATACCACCCAGCATGTCCACATGATGAGGTTTTCTGAACAGGAGGATGTAATTCAGAGATGGGGGAAGGTGTCAGCTGTCAGCACAAGATGTATGAGCTTCCAGCAAGCCAATGCAAAAGCCACCTTAATTAAATGTAGATTAATCCCTGTTGCCCCTCACTGGTCCCTGCTGTGCACAGTGGATGCATTTGAATCACAGAATCACAGGCTGGGTTGGGTTGGAAGGACCTTAAAGATCATCATGCCATGGGCAGGACACCTTCCACTAGCCCAGGTTGCTCCAAGCCCTGTCCAGCCTGGCCTTGGACACTTCCAGGGATGGGCAGTCCACAACTCTGGACAGAGATCAGCTGAGAAGGTGCACCAGCCACCCACTGCTGGTTGATTTTTTGCAAAACTTCAGCAAAACAGCCCCAACACCTGACACCCCAACGAGGTGCCGGGCAGGAGGTGGCCCTGGGGGACACCGGGCACCCTGCCCTGCCCCTCCAGCACCGAGGGCTTCAGCAGGGCCAGTGAAGTGACCCCATGAGCAGCAGCTGGGCTGAGCCCCAGCCTTTGGAGCTGCTGAGAGTGCTCAGCAGGGAGCTGCTCCCTCCTCAGCCCATCCCGCTGGGAGACAGCAGCGTGGGAAAGGCTCTGGCTGCCGGCAGCCTGGATCCCAGCGCTGTTCTCCGGCGGGAAGCAGGCAGGGAGAGAGAGTCCCTGATTCAGCAAACCCGAGCCCGAGGCATCCGTGTGGGAACCCACATTTAACCTCGGGGCTGTCTGGCATTCCCTGCGTGCTCTGCCAGCCGCCAGCCCCGGCTTTTCCCAGCCCTGCTGTGGAAGATGCACTCAGTGAGTCAGAAAACCACCTAAAAATAGATGAACACACATTCTGGCAGAGCAAGGCGAGGAGTTCTCCTGTTAACCAGCGTGGGTCTGCACCTCTGCTTGCTTTAAAACTGCCTTTTCTACGTTCCTGATCATGCACATATGGGGAAGGGGGGGAGTATTCTCAGTTTCTGGATACTTACACCATTTTTTCCTGTGTGTATCTTCACTTAGGTACAAATTAGTTGGAAATAATTTCATCTGGTGCCAGCTTAAAGGAAACGACGTTGAGTGGAGTCAACTTCCAACCTGTGAATGTAAGATTCATCCTTAACTGCAAGATTAGATCTTACTTTTGACTTCTCCACTAGATCCTGCATCCCAATGTCTAGTCCAAAGATTTCTTTGTGCAGTGTTTTTGTTGATATTCTGTGGCCCACCCGTCCCCAAAACTGCAGCTGGCACTATTTCAGCAGTTTTGCTCCCACAAGACCAACATATTTTCTCATGACTTAAAAGCTGCAGTGAAGGTGGTGGGGTGAGATTTCCAGGAATCCTGAGCTAGGGCACGTCCTGCTTATTTTTTTGTGACCCTTGTATTGAGAGGGAGAAAGATGTGACAAGAGAAACACTAAAAAAAGAGAGAAAATTGGGACAGGCAGCAGTGCTAGTTGCCCATCTAGTTACAGCAGTGCTGGTTACCCACCTTCAGTTGTCCAGAATGTTTATTGCCTTCAAGAATCTTAGGTGGACTCAAGAAACATTTTGTATTTTCATTATTACCGAAGCTTTTAGCAAACACTCATGTCATCCTCTTTCCTGCAGTAATTAGCTGTTCTTCACCTCCTCCAATCAGCAATGGGAAGCATGATGGTGAAGGTGTGGAAAACTTTGCTTATAACTCAACGGTGACATACAGCTGTGCCCCTGGATTCCAGCTCCTTGGGAATGTGAGCATCCGCTGCACGAGCACGGACAAAACCACCGGAGTCTGGAGTGGAGCTGTGCCCAAGTGCAAAGGTGGTTTCATCCCAATTTTCTCTTTATTACTATTTAGCATTTATTATGAGTTCGGTATTTAGCTTGAATCGGCTCAAAATCTTGTGATTGTGTGGTACAGGGCGTGTCAAACATCAGTAATAAGGCAATTTTAAAGAGGAAAAAATGCAGTGCTGGAGTAAGAACAGAACTGTGCCAGCAAGACCTAGTGCTCCCTGCAATGCTCACTCTTTGTCCCCTAGAGAAAAGCTCAGCTGTCAAACTTGGAGCAAAAGACGTGGAAAGGAGTGTCCCTCCCCAGAGTGAGTTGAAATGATTCAACACTGAACCCAGTCCCGTTTAATTTGCTCCTTTATCACATTTCTGTCAAAAGGCCATTCAAGGAACTTCACACCGTGGATTTTATTCTTTCAGGTCCCCAGGGAAATGGCATCCAACCCCCTAAGAAGGCTTTATCATGGGAGAGGAAGCTCAGCCTCTATAAGAAGTCACTCCAAAATACCATCTCCTCCCCCCATTCTGTTTCTGTCTCCAAGACACCAGGTCAGTCCTGGAAGCTCATCTGGAGATCGGGGAAATTCCTCAGTGGGACTCCCTGGTTACTCCCAGCCCCAAAACCTGGAGTTTCCATTTTTCCCCATGTCTCCCTTCAGTGTCCAGGAGCTGTGCTACCTCAGCACTCAGGTTTGTTCTACCTTTGTACAAATCCCAAAAACACTCTTCTCCTGGGACCAGTAAAGGATCCGTGTGTCCTCCGAAGTACATGGGGATCTCTGGCATTCTCCCCAAATCCAGCTGCTTTCAGAACTTAAAACTCTCTAAAGTTGCATCATTTTGTGCAAGTGAGTGATTTTTTTTTTTTGGTCATATTCTTTTGCTCTATAAGTTTCCCCTGTATAATTTATATCTTTTTGCTGGCTGGGCATCTGGTTCACAGCTCAAGTTTGGCTGTGCTGACCTCCTATTCTTAAAAAAGCTTTGCTTAGTGTGAAATATATTTTAATTTATCATTGTTTCCTTGCCCTCATCTTATCCCAGATATTTTTTTAATTCTTTTTTTTTTTTTTGGCCATTTTGAAAAGCAAGAGATGACTTTGCACCACCTTAGGAGTGCCAGGGCTCCTGCCCTTGCTCCCAAGGGCTGATGCCAACCTTGTTCCACACAGAGAGGTCGTGGGCGGCCAGGAGAAGCTGGACATGGCAGAAGTGCTGCTACACCACATTCCCCATCCGCTGCAAAGGATTATTTTACCCATGAAAAGGGTGAACTTTGGCTCTGTGGGACAAGGGGGGAGCTGTAAGTGTGTTATTGTAAGTAATGAAGACAAAACCCCCCCCGGAGGGTCTTGCTACCCAGCTAGAGGTTGGGTGAAGAGTGTCTCTCTGGTGTCAGGGTCAAGCTGAGTTTGCCCACCCCAGATTCACGTTTCTTGGGTCAAAATCAGAAAATCTGTTACCCCTCCTGTGGTGGACAAACCAGCACTGGAAGGATAAAGCAGGAAAACCCTTTACCTGATCTGCTCCAAAATTGCCCCATGCAGTGGTTGCACTTGTTAGGGCTCTTACACTTTGCTTTAAGACAAAGAATGAGCTGGATCAGGTCTGTCCCATATGTAAAATGTAATTTTTTACCGGTGATGTGTTTTTAAACGTTCCCAGAAATTGACTGAAAATCACTTCTGCAAGCATTGGTCGATCCCCACATTTTCCTCTCCCACCTGAATTTTTCTTTCAGCGATTTTCTTCTACCCCCTGAATCCCGTTGTGATTCCCTGCTGATCTGACCAGCCTTTTTTTTCAGGCTGCAGTTTCCCAGAAACACCCCCCAGATGTTCTGCAGGACTTCTGCAGAGCTCAGCTACGTCACAACCCCCCTGAGTGAGTGTTTCCACAGGTTTTTTTGCTCACTAGCAACCGCCCTAAACACAGACCCAACCTCTCTGAGGAGCTGAGCTGCTCCCTCAGCTTCCCAGGAATTTCTGGCTGTAGCACAGCCTGGGTGTGGACACGCCCATGGCAGCTGCCCTGAGCAGGGCTGTACTGAAAGCAAAACTTGCAGAATTATGAGCTCATTTCTTTTAGGAAGTCATAGAGTTTTAGACATTACACTGACTATTGATCTTTATATCTTTGGTAGTTTAAGCCCTTCTTTAGCAAAAGCTGCCTTTTTTTTTTTTGTATCAGACCTAAATTCTTTGAAGTTTATATTTCTACTACAGGAAGATAAAGCCACAAGTGGGCTGGGCATCTCCTAATCTCATAACATAAAGGAGCTACTTCTGCTTTCCAAAGGGGGGAAGGCAGCTCAGTAATGCTGTGAGCACCCTGACTACTCACAGACACAGAAATACAACTGCTAAATATCCTGCCCAGTGTTGTCACACTGCAACAGAGAGACTGGAAATGTCACATTCACGTTGTTGGCTGCTCACCCCATCTTTGTCCTGTAACAAACACCAAAGCCTTTCTGGGATTTTATCTACATTTAGTAATAAATGGTAATTGTTTATAAAGGGTGGTCTGTGAGTTCAACTGCCTGCTGTTCCCTTGTCATGTTTTAGTCTCTTTTCAGGAAGGAATCAGCTTTTAGGAATATCCTCACAATGTTCAGATTTGCTGTTCAGTCAGTCCTTTATCAGCACTCTGAACATTTATTTTCTAAGTTAGATGTGGTTTTTAAAAAATTAGTAAAGAAAGCAAGCAAATCCATGCAGTAAAGCTTGGGAATGTGAGTGTTTCTGGTAAGTGCTCTGGAAAAGGAAGCTGGAGTGATGGATACCTGCCTTAATCCTATTTAGCCATCCTGGGACAGAGCCCTGCAGCCCCTCTGCTGTGGCTCAGCCCAGGGATCAGTTCCAGAAGGTTTTGGGAGCTGAGGGCGATATCTCAGGCTGCTGCCAGTGGGAGCAAGCAGGAGGGAGCCGAGGGTGAGTTTCCATGGAAAGCCTGGAGCAACTCCAGCAGCTCAACCTCTGTTTTTGCTGGCAGGTTTTGCCGGACACCTCCTGCTGCCGCAGCCGGTTTTGCCGGACACCTCCCGCTGCCGCAGCCCCGCACCAAACACGGGTCAGGCTGCCCTCTGGACGTGCTCTTCTTCTGCCACCACCATCTGCTTGGCCCGATTTCTGCAGGGAGGGGATGTGGGAGCCAGATAAAGCCTGGTGGCCCTCGGTGGCTGCAGCAGGGCAGGCACAGACCTGCTATCACCAGGCTCAGCTGCCGCGCGGGAGGTGCCGGCGCTCGGCCGGTTACTGGGGCAAAACGGGGCAGCAAACGTGGGTGCAGAGGGGCAGGCTGGTCTGAGCCTGACGGTGGGGCAGGTACAGATGTCTCCTGCAAGGCCTCAGGTAGGAAAACAGCCTGGCTCAAGGGTTCAGCCTGTCAGCAAGGGGGATTTCACTGAGCTGGAGCTGCAGCGCTCGGTTCTCCCGGTGTAAGTGGATCCGAACCACTCCCTGAGGAGACTCAGCACTACCTGGAGTCTTTGCCAAATACTTTTCAACATCTCCATGTTCCATGCTGAAGTCACTGCCCAGAATTCAGAGTGTTGGGGTTTTTTTTTCTGGCTAACAGCTTCCTTTTGCTTTGTGCAGCCACCAGTGACCTGTAAAAATATGTGGCCAAGGTATGTCCATATAATTCTTCATCCCCCTCCCAAGCACGTATTTCAAAGGAGGACCTTACCCAGGCTGCCTGACTCCTCCCTGGGTCTCATTGCAAATGATTTTGTTACATCTGCTTGGAGCTTAAATTGTATTGGAAAGGAAAGTGGAGAGAAAAAACTAAAGTAAAACAGGTAAGTTTGAGCTTCTCAGTGGAAACATCAGTGTTTCCTGCACAGCAAAGGCAAACAGGAAGGTGCAGGTTTGCTGCTGGCTGCCCTTTGCTTGGTGTGGGAGCACTGCTCAGCAGAATGGGATGAGGCAGCAAACACAGCCACAACCTTTCCTCTGGCTTTTCCCTCGAGCCCCATGGGTGGGGATCCCAGAACGGCTCCACTTTCCCCATATGGAGCCAAGGCAAAATGCTCCTGTGCCTGACGAGGCCTGAGGACACAACTGAGCCTCTTTGGGCAGCACAGCATCTCCTTCAAAGAGTTTTTAGTCTAACTGGGAGAGTTACAGTGGGAACACTGGTATCCCCACTACCCGTGCATAGGGGTTAATAGAAGCAGCCCAATTAGCAACTTCAAGGTAGGGCTGATTTAAACCTCTCTGTTCTCTTCTGGGCACCTCTCGAGCTGGAGGAGAGCCCTTGTCTCTCTGTTCTTACAGAAAAGCCTCTTTCCATGGAGGTTTGTTCTTTGGGACAGGCAGGTGATGTTTGAAGGTGGTTTGGGGGTCTGGCAGGGTCTGGTGCCCCTGAGCTGTGCTGGGCTGAGCCAGGTGCTGCTGGAGAGGGCAGGTGGCACCAAGGAAGAGTCAGCTCTTGTCCCCACATGCAGTAGAGCCAGTGCTGGGGGACGAATGCACTCTTCACTCCCCAAACACACTCTGGGGTGTGCCCAGAACCAGCAAGATCCCCCAGGCTGCCCCTTTTGGTTTGGGTCTTTTCCTTTGGGAGTTGACAGCTCTGGAGGGAGGGTTGTCTTTGCTGGAAGGTGCAGAGACGATGGGAGGGAGAGGCTGAGGCAGCGGGTGCCCGCAGAGCCCCCCTGCATTCCTCGGGATGCCAGGCGTGCCCCGCGGAGCCGGCACGGGGGGGGGAACCGCGTCTTCCACACCCACTGCCCACCGCAGGCTCGGGTTTCGTCAGAGGATTTCCCGGAGCTGAGGTGGCCGGGCGGGGTGCGGGGGTGCTGCGGGAGTGGCCCCGCTGCCCATCGCTCCCCGCCCCGCGGGGGCCGCCCGGGCAGTGCCGGGGAGACCCGCGATGGGCTCCGGCCGCTGCCGCTCGCTCCTGCCCGCGCTGCTGCTTGCTGCTGTGGTGCTGCCCTCGGCGTGGGGTGAGCCCTCGGGGAGGGACTGGGGGTGCGGTGAGCCCTGACACCTTGTGTGTGTGCTCCGTGGGTGCGTGTGATGTGTCTGAGCGTGTGTGTTCCACGCGGGTGTGTGCCCTCTGTGTGTGTGCGTGTGCTCCGTGTACATGTGTTTTGTGTGCTCCGTGTGCTCCCCGTGGGTGGGTGTGTCCCCTGTGGGTGTGTTATCCCTGTGAGTGTATGTTATCCGTGTGTACGTGCTCCTGAGGCTGTGTGTGCCCTGGATGTGTGTGTGTGTGCTCTCTCTCCATGTGTTCCAGGTGCTTTCCTTGTGGGAAGGTGTGTGCTCAGTGTGCTCTGTGTGTGTGCTCTGTGTCAGTGATGTGCTCTGTCTGTATGCGCACTCTGTGTGTGTGTGCTCCATGTGTGTGCATGTGTGCACCCCCTCCATGGGCATGTGTGCTCCATATCCATGTCCATATGTGTGCTCCTTGTGCATGTATGTGCTCTATGTGCATGTCTGTGCTCCCTGTGCATGTATGTGCTCCATGTACATGTCCGTGCTCCCTGTGCATGTATGTGCTCCATGTGCACGTATGTGCTCCTTGTGCATGTTTGTGCTCCATGTCCATGTGTGTGCTCCCTGTGCATGTATGTGCTTCACATGCATGTATGTGCTCTATGTGCATGTCTGTGCTCCATGTACATGTTTGTGCTCCATGTCCATGTGTGTGCTCCACATGCATGTCTATGCTCCCTGTGCATGTATGTGCTCCACGTGCATGTTTGTGCTCCCTGTGTATGTATGTGCTTCATGTGCACATATGTTCTATGTGGGTGCCTGTGCTCTCTTTGCATGTGCTCCATGTGTGTGTATCATGTGCTTCACATGTTCCAGGCGTGCTCTGCTCCGTGGGCTGCCCCACTGTGTGTGTGCCACACTCCCCCCCCCACTCCGAGTGTGCCCTGCCCGGGGAACAGACAGAGAGGCAGCAGAAGCCCCACTAAATCCCGGTGTGTTTTGCCACAGGTGACTGTGGGCCCTTGCCCAATATCAGCCACGCAGAGCCCACAGAGGACATGAAAGACAAGCAGAGCTTCAGTGAGGGCTCCACGGTGAGGTACACCTGTGTCACAGGTTACACCAAACGCCCCTTCCTCTCCGACACCGTCCAGTGCCTCACAAACTCCCAGTGGTCCCACCTCCCGGAGTTCTGTGGCCGTAAGTATTTCCCTTTCTCTGCTTGGAGACGCTTGTGAAAACATTCAGTGCTTTGGCAATCGCTGCTTCAGGGGTTTCCTCATCAGGAGTGGCCATCAGGATGAAGTGGCTTAGGCAAGGATCTCTTGCTGCCCCTTTTTTTTCCTCACCTCCACTTTGGGGTTGGAGCCATGTGCTGGCATTTGTGTGCTAATAAAAATAGATCAATAGCTTGGGAATGATTCAAAGAGAGCAAATTTTAACATCTAAAACTTTTTGCATTAAGTAGTCATCTGGGAATGTCTTCTGATAGAATCCTACAATGGTCTGGGTTGGAAGGGACCTTAAAGCTCATCTCAGTCCACCTGGTGGAAGGAACACCTTCCACTAGCCCAGGTTGCTCCAAGCCCTGTCCAACCTGGCCTTGGACACTTCCAGGGCGGGAGCAGCCACAGCTTTTCTGGACAACGTATGCCAGGGCCTGCCCACCCCTATATAAAGAACTTCCTCCATATATCCAATCTAACCCTGCCCTCTCTCAGTGTGAAGCCTTGTTCCCCTTGCCCTATCACTCCATATAAATAATCTCTCTCCATCTGTTTGTAGATTACTTTCTGGTTTAATTACATGAATTACCCATCACCTTCTTAAAACTATTTGTGTTATCCATGTTCTTTAGTGAGGTTTGTTTGTTATCACCCGGCTTTATGTTTATACGCAGTTGAGAATGCAAAATATTGTTATTTTTGCTTTGTAACTGACATTCTGGTTGTCTCTGTTGCCAGGTAGCTGTCCCAGCCCTCCATATGTGCCATTTGCTAAAATATCACAGGAAGATCAAACACAGAATTTTTATTCTGTTAATACCACGGTGAAGTACATCTGTCGCCCAGGCTTTGAGAACACCACGGACCAGCTCCCCACCAGCACCTGTCTGGACAACTTAAAGTGGTCAGAAGTCCCTGAGCTGTGTAGGAGTGAGTGTCTCCATGTAATTTTATTTTCTCCAACGCTGTGTTCCCAGTGCCACGTCTGTATTTCAGAATTGCTCTTTTTTAATGACATTTAACATGAAATGCCACCAGTCTCCTGGTTTGCCGTTGCCACACTGTCACCCCCAACCTCATGGTGTCCTAAGGATAATCTCACTCTTTTCCAGGGAAATCTTGTGGTATTCCAGCAAGTCCAGAACATGGCAAAGTTATTACAGATGATCATCTGCTTGGTGCAAAAGCCACTGTGGCCTGTGACCGTGGGTGAGTGTGAAGCAGCTGCCCACTGCATCCCAGTCGCCTGGCCAGAGACACTGGTGGGTGAACTGGGACATGGGGCTCTGCCCATGTGGAGTCCCTGGCAACTCTGTGGTGACACATTCTTGGTTGGTGACAACAAATTTTGGGATGTGCCTTTTCTCCCTGCAGGTACATCCTAGAGGGAGGGCCAGCTTTCATCTTTTGTACTCTACAGGGAAATGAAGTTGTCTGGAGCCAACTTCCAGCTTGTCAGGGTAAGTGAATTGTCCAGTGCTTGACTGGAAATACCAGATATTCCAACTCAAGAATACTGAATTGTTTGTTGATTTTACTAAGTCAAGTTCTGCCATGGGCAGGGACACCTTCAACTATCCCAGGTTGTTCCAAGCTCTGTCTAACCTGGCCTTGGACACTTCCAGGGATGGGGCAGCCACAGCTTCTCTGGGCAACCTGTGCCAGGGCCTCCCCATCCTCACAGGGAAGAGTTTCTTCTGTGTATCTAATCTAAACCTTCCCTCCTTCACCCTGAGGCCATTTCCCTTTTTCCAGTCACTGCATGCCTTTGTCCAAAGTCCCTCTCCAGCATCTTGAAGCCCCTTTAGGCACTGGAAGGGGCTCTAAGATCTTCCCAGAGCCTTCTCTTCTCCAGGCTGAACAGCCCCACCTCTCTCAGCCTGGAGAGTTCTCCCATCAGGGAGAAGAGCATCCCAGGGGCCACCTCCTGAACTCTTTTCTCTTCCTCCCACAGCTATTTCTTGTCCTCCTCCTCCAGCCATCCCCCACGGGCAGCACGATGGCAACAGCACAGAGAAGTTCCTGTATGACTCAGTCACCACCTACACGTGTGACCCCGGGCTGGAGCTCGTGGGGAACAAATCCCTCCGTTGTACAACAGAGAACGGGGTCCTTGGAGTCTGGGATGGGGCTGCTCCCGAGTGCAGGGGTGAGCACTGCTGGGTGATCACCCCCTTCTCCAGTGCTTTGTTCTTGCTGTGCAGATAATTCCTCCTAATTCCCTTCTCTCACAAAGGGAAGGGCCCCATCCTGGACAGACATTCCATAGGGTTTGTCTCCAGGGGAGCAGGGTCTGTGTGCAGCAGGGATGTGCTCTGCAAGGTGCCAGGCTCTGCCCAGGGGCGCTGTGAGCACAGCTGGACCCGCTTTTACATTTTTCCCTTCAAGAGGAACGGGCAGAATTTTGACTGAAAACGTGTGAAGTGCATCAGTAACTGCAAAGCTGGGGGAGTGAAGGGATTTGTGTCTCATGTCCAGCAACACCTGGGCAATAAAGCCAAGTGGGACAGCAGACTGTCCCCAAGGATTGGAGTGTCACCAAGAGCTCCCTGTGTGACTCTTGCACAGCTCTTGCTGTTGTAGCCTCAGATGCACAAGTCACCTGCCCATGCCATGTTTAGTCTCACTGAACTCTTATATATATTATATATAAATGGAGGAGCATATAAAATAACACTTTGAGTGCTTTTCCTTTGTCTCTCCCCAGTTAGCACTGCATCAGAGACAAACCAAACTGAATCCTCCAAAGGGAATCCTTACTGGCTGGGTAAGAGCTCAGTTACTAAAAACTGTTAATTGCTGTAACTGCACCACATTTGGGGCTTTGTTTTTTTAACATCCATTTCATAATTTTCTTCCCTAGCAAGTATCCTCATCCCTAGTTGCATTGGTAAGTAGCTTAAAATTGAAAATATATTCTCCTAACCCAAAGCTGTCATTTGCTGTTAAATACCTGGAGTCAGTGGTTGACTGGGTTCACTCTCCCCAGTCCTGAGTGTCTCTGGAAAGGATTTAGGGGTTTCTCTGCTGTTGGGTGATGGATCAGCTGTCTTAGTATAAAACATTAAATAAATTGAGGGTGAAATGAAAGATGCCAAAGAAACCAACCAAAACCTGCACATCCTGTCACTCTTTAATTGACAAAGTTGCCTTAAAAGGCCTTGGCAGACTTTGAAACATGAGAGATTTGTGAAGCATGGAAAAGAGGCCAAGTACTGAAAGTGTTATGTTTAAAATACAAAAGAAACAGAAAGCTGGCTATAAAAACCCTAAATAAATGAGGATCACACCCTGGCCAAGCTCAGCAGGACACCAGGCTCAGCAGTGGCTCCTGTGCTCCATGCTCAGAGGCAGGAGAAGGATTTTGCAATTATCTGGCTGACAGGGAGCCCTGAGGTTGACAGACAGCGCCAGCACAGAGAGTTTTGCTGCCCAAACTGCAGTATTTCACTTAAATTACAGATTAAATTTTGGGTTGGCAGTTGTTTTTTTGTTTCCCTTCTTTGTTAGTTCCCCCAGTAGCCCTTGGAATTCTAGCTGGGATCATCATGAGGCGGAAAGACAATGAAAAACAGTAAGTGACACAAAGCTGCCCCTTGAAAATCTTAACTTTCCCCTAGGGGTAAGTGGATGTTTCCTTTCAAGCTCTGTACCTTCAGTATATATTTTCATGGTTAGTGCTATCTTCTCGTGTTGCTAATTTGCTTTTTATTCTACACATTTTCTCCCTTCTGTCTCTTCAGCTCTTATAACATGAATTTACAAAAGCACAGGGTGAAGAAGGGAAGGGATGCACCGATGTGCCCAAAGAAGCAGCCCATGCCATGGAATTCCTATTTTTGGTAGGTTTGCTTGTTCATCTGCCCCAAAAGCTTGTGCCAGCCTTCTGCCTGTACCCATGGGTCTCACTGGTGACCTGTAAAAACACGTTCTCAGGAAGTTTTGGGCTCTCAAATGCCAACACGCCGTTTGCTGAGAGGCACCGGCGGCTTCACGGGAGGGTTTGGTGCTCACTGGCTGCTCTCTGGGCTCAGCCTGAGGGATTATGGTCTTAAGCTGTGCCAGGGGAGGTTTAGGTTGGATATTAGGAAGAATTTTTTTCCAGAGGGGGTGCTCAGCCATTGGAATGGGCTGCCCAGGGAAGGGGTGGATTCTCCATCCCTGGAGGTTTTTAAGAAGAGACTGGATGTGGCATCAGTGCCATGGGCTGGGAACCACAGCGGGGTTGGATCAAGGGTTGGACTTGATGATCTCAGAGGTCCCTTCCAACCCAGCTGATTCTGTGATTCTCCCCCTCTCTCTCCTCCACAGCCACACAACGAGTTGCCACGTGTGTCCCACCTGCAGGAAGCAGCTGCACGATGCCCTGGCCCCTCTGACGGTGCCCACGCCCCAGGGCTGCGCCGCCTGCGAGCACTGGCTGAGCACCAGCAAACCACGCACCTACTCGGTCCCCAGCATTGGTGACAGGGAGAGCCAAAGCCCAGCAGGCACCAGGTACCACCAGGCTCTTGCTCCTGCTCCCCTCGCGTGGGTCCACGGAGGGCAAAACTTTCCCCAAGGAGGAAAAAGCATCTCTACGTGGATGGAGCAGGTTTTGCGGTTGGAATTCATTTGGTTCCTCCAAGTCCAGTTTCGGCAGGAGGAAGTATTTGATATTTAGAAAAAGGTGGCTCTGTAGGGCAGCAGGTGTTCTGGGAAAGCCACACATTCAGGTGATTCAGGTGTCTTCTCTCTCTTTGTCTGTGTTCAGCTCTCCTGCCAAAGCTGTGGATGTGCAGAGGGGCCACGGTGCAGGAGAAGCTGGTCCAGAGAGGAGTGAGGCAGAGCAGCCCATGGACCACAAAAGGTCTGTCTTCCACTTAAAAACACACAGATGTCATGGTGGGATTGGATAAAAATCACTTCAGAGTAGAGCAAATCTGGTTTTATCACAGAATCCCAGAGTGGTTTGGGTTGGAAGGGACCTTGAAGATCATCCAGTTCCCATGGGCAGAGCACACCTTCTACTAGACCAGGTTGTTCCAAGCTGGCCTGGAATGCACATCCATGCAGTCAGTGCACAGCATTAATGGTGCTTCTCCACAGCAGCCACCACATCTGCCCCGTCTGTGAGAACTGGCTCCGTGCCCACGTTGGACAGTTGGACAGCAGTGCTGTGGCACCCAGGGAATGGCAGGATGAGGGGTGAGTGTGGTGAGGCCGGTGCAGGCAGCTCCTCTGAGCAGTGGGCAGCGGGGTGTGTGCCCAGTGTCCTCGAAATGAGAGTTCAACTCTTCAGATAGAAACCCTCTGACAGTGCGTGAATGCTGGCTCCACTTGCCTCCAGCTCTGTGTCAGCACAGTGGTGTGGTGCCTGCTTGCAAGCAAAGGGATGTGAAACTGGGGTGAGGTTTGCTCAGACAGTGCTTGAGTGGTTTCCTTGGGTGTCTCTGAATCAGCCTGTGCTCTTTGTGCTCACCTGGCTGGGCCTTGTGTTCTTTGGAGCTCTGGTTTTGGTTAGGCAGCAAAGAGCCTGGTGCTGTGAGAGATCCTGCAGCTTCTGTTCTCCTGCTGCCCAGTGCTTTTCCCACCTCTAGGCATGGTTAGTTTGCTTGGGGCAGGATAAGGAGTTTGGGCAGAGCAGCAATCAGGTGAGCAAGATAATCCTGTTTGCTCTGTTCACTTATCTTTTGACACTTGCCCATGAGAATCTGATGCTCTCTCAGGCTCCCAAAACTTCCTTAACAGAGTCATCACTGACAAATTCAAATAAATATTTAGTTAAATAAACATGGTCTGACGTGTGCATCTGCTTGCTTTATCTTCAGTAAGTGGGAACTTCTTTTTACTCCACTTGTTTTGGGTTTTTTTCCATTTATATCCCACTGTTGTGTGAGTGCTTTTAGCCCTTAACACTGGAGGAGCCATTTCAGTTCTTCATTCATGAATCGCTGCTTATTTGAGTTTAAAAAGTTAATATCTTTGAAATTACCAGGGAAACCAGCTTTTGTGGGTGCTGGAGGCTGTGCTTTAGTGAGGAGCAGTTTGTCACCACCCCACTGGGACTCACCCACCCTTGTCTCTCTCCCCACAGCCCGCGGGGCCCCGTCTGCTCTCCCTGCACGGACCAGCTGCACCTCTCCCTTGTCCACAGCGCCACGTGGAGCAGTCCTGTGGTGTGTCCCCTGGCTGCAGAGGGGACCCCAGCCCACCTCGTGCCTCAGCACACCCCCAGCTGCCACGTGTGCCCCGTCTGTGCGGTGCCAACCCACACACACTTGTGCCAGCCCCAGCACCAGGCACCCGATGGTAGGGGCCCAAAACACCCCTCAGGTCACCGGGGTGGGGGCCACAGCACCACAAACCTGGTTTTCCTCCCAAAGCCTGAGGGCTCACCCTGATTAAGCTTCTTGTTTCCCTGTTGCAGGATAAATCCAGGGGGCTGCGGCGTCCTCGGGGAATTCTGACACTAATCCCTGACACTGTGTGGAGTGATTGATAAAGAGTCTGGAAATCAAAAGCCACCTGGCTCTGATGGGTGCTGAGAAGGTCAGGGTACACTGAGGATGTTCCCTGTGCATGGATAAACACATGGATACACCAAAGAATGGAATGATGTGGAGACACCACATCCCCTCTTCCAGACATCCTGCAAGAAGGGAACGTGGTAACCTTTTGACCTCTGTCATCCATCCATCAGAAAAGGAATAGATGCTAACTTTATCTCAACCTAACCCTTATGACCAGAGTCATGCAAATTCCAAGAAAAAAGGTATGAAAAGGAGGTTAAGATGGGGAAAAGATCCAAGGAAGATTTCCATTGAAACTGCTGGATCAGCCATCGGGCTGAACCTGTCTTCTCATCCCCCCTTAAGGATGCTTATGGGGTGAGAAATTTAAACTTTTAAGGAACTAGAGTTTGCTTTCTCTTCATAATGTGGTAGTAGGTTGCTTAAATCTGTATTTGTGCTTTTTTTGTGGTATTATTACTTTCTTTTGAGCATGTTTTGTAGACAGACTCTATCACCGACTACTATAAACCTTTATTAGCTGGTCACAATTTGTGTTAATAAACTGTGTTATTTTGTAACTGTTAGAGTAAGTCCTTTTAATAAGGTGCTAGTAGTTCTTCTGGCAACAGAATAAACACAAAGGAGTACCTGCTGAGAGGTCCCCATGCGGTTTTGATCTCCCAGGGACACTAACAAGCAAATATAATTTTTAAGAGTGGGGTAAATTTCCCCTTCCCCTCCCTTTCCCTGACCCACTGTCAGGGATGAAATTCTTAGTGCAATAAGGCAACCTGAAGTCAAAGGTCTGACTTCACCACCAATGACTTCTCGGTAAAGGAGCAGGAAAATCAAACATACTTCAAAACCCAGCTCCGTGTTGGTTTAATACCTACTTTGTTTATTTTTGTATGAAAAAACTATTTTTGCAGCTCTTAAAGCAAGGCTTTAAAAATTCAGTAAATCTTTCGTAATAGGCACCCTCTTTTTGCACAGCCTTACAAGATTTATTCGTATTTTTTAAACTTTTTTTTTACTGAGGTTCCTTTCCTAGCGATCAGGAGCAAGTGTAAAAATTAGAGTATTTACAGTACAACTGTTTTGTAAATAAAAGGAATCTAAAATAAGGAGTACTGGTATGTTGGCTTGGGGGTTTATTTCGTGTTTACTAATCCAGCCTTCTCCTAGAGTGCTTTAAGTGATTTTGCAGCCTCATTCTTTGCCGGATGTAATCGAGCTCACTGATTGCTTCTGCTCAGATAATCGCTGCTGTTGCCCTGGCACCCACAGCCGTGCCCAGCCTTTCCTGGGAACTGTGATGACGGAGCTGAGGTGCCACTGCTGGCATGTTCTCTACCCAAAAACCCAGGCTGCAGCTCCAGCGGGATGTTCCCAGGATTCAGCTCCATGCACAGCTCGTACTCAGTTTGATACAGGGCACAAAATATTGATAAAGCAGAGGCTGTAACATTTGCCTTTCTGCTTTATCAGTGTTTGCCAAGAGATTGCATTGATGGGGGCTCTGGAAAACACCCAGATGGGGGTGGCAAACGGGCAGTGCCACGGGGAGGACAAAAGCACCACACAGTCCCCCAGATCCTTCTGTTGTATCTCTTATCAAACTGGGGCACAGCACATTTCCATGGGCTTGTGCTGGCAGGTGTAAATCTGCTTGGAGGAGAGGGAGAGGCAATGGCCACCTGAGCACATGAGCTGTCCCACGCCCTGCCTGCTGTCCCTCCCTGTCCCTGCTTGCTCATCCCTTGGAATGCAGGGCTGGAGGCAGCAGGGGCTGTTCAGGGGTGCCAGGTGGTCCCCCCAGCGTGCCCTAAACCTCACCTGGCTGGCACAGAAGGTCAATCTCACCTCTTGGTGAAGCAATGACACATGCTGGAAGCAGAAAACAGTGAAGAAAGTGCAAAATTCAATATGCAATGGTGCAAACATGGACACCTGACGGAGGCCTTGCGGTTTGTGTTGCTGTGGCATCGGGGAAGAACAATGGAATGAGGTGGAAGCTTCACAGTCATCTTCCACCTGATATTCCAAAAGGGTTTGTACAAACCAAGTACACCTCCCACCAGGAAATATTCTGTACAACACAACCACAAAAACCAGAAGCTTTGACCACAGCACTCTGCTCAGTAGGGGTTAATAAGGTATAAAACGTACCCTGTGTTTGTGTACAACTCAGGGAGAAGAATTCGACATGAAATTGCAGGGACAAATCAACACATTTGTCCTCCTCCCCCTCTGCAGAAGAGACACCTTTTGGCAAGTCTTGTGCCCTCTGCTGTGCCAAGTGTTGACACGGGAAATTAGGCTTGGGATTGCAATGGTATTGTTAGTGCTCTCTGCAGCTATTCTGCACTTAATCCATTTACCACCAGCAATCCAAAAGAACTGCATATGTTGCATCCAATAAATCGTGCTGTTCATGACACCAACTGGCTCTTTTGAATGCAACCAGCCCCGCAGTTCACAGACTGGTCACACAACTAGTGTGACACTTTTGCAACACCTAGGAATGGTGCAACACGGTGTGGCAGGAGGACAAGTGCTCTTCGGGAAAAAAACACATCTGTGGTGACGTCAGGCTGTCCTTGAGTTGAGGACCAAGTGTGTGGTGACCAGGAATAAGGAGCCTTCACAAGGCAGACACTCCACGTGTTTACAGCTGTTTGGGGTAAGTCATGCATGCTACGTGTTGGGTTATGCATCCCAAAGGTAAACTCCTTCCCTGGAATCGGGTGGGGCAGGAGAGGCCGAGGGGAGGAGGAAGGAACCCTGGCTGTTCCTCGTTTGTTAAGCGGCATCATTTCCTACTCATTAAACTATAAAACGGCAGCGCCCTGGGAGCCGCCGAAACAGGTGTGGGAATTGCCTCGGGAATTAGCCGAGGAGCCGCTGCCCACAGCCCCGGGGGCACAGAGGAGCCGAGGCACTCGTTTCCCTCAGCAGCCCGAGGAAAAGGGTCCCTTCGTGCAACAGCCGCGACAGGGATCCGCGTCGGCCCCGGGGACAGCCGCGCTCCGCATCCCTGCGCATCCCGCGGAGCCGGCACCGGGAGGGACCGGGCACCGGGAGCAGCTCCGGGAGCGGCCCCAGCTCCGGCCATGGCTCTGCGCTGGCTCTTGGCGCTGCTGCTGGCACTGCCCGGCGCTTGGGGTGAGCGGGGACCCGGCGGGACAGGGGCTGCGTGGGGCTGGGCTGGACCCGCGTGGAAATGGGGCTGGGGCGGGGAAGGGCTCGGACGAGCCCCGTCACCATCACCTTTCTGCCCGCAGGGACCTGCCCGCAGGCGCCAATTTTCGTCTTTGCGGAGCTCACCACGACCCCCCAGGAATCCTACCCCGTGGGGACCCAGCTGAGGTACCGCTGCCGCCCGGGGTACGTGAGGAACGGGGACCAGGCCCCCGTGGTCACCTGCCTCCCCAACTCCACCTGGTCGGAGCAGCCCGACTTCTGCATCGGTGGGTTCCCCCGTGGTGGGACTGGGGGGCGGGCACAGCCCCTGCAGCACCACAAACCCCTTCACGGCTCAGCCCGGCTCGGAACGATGCTCCCCCATCCCTGTTTTAGGGCAGTTAAAACAAGTGCCCACCCTGGGTGCCTGCCCGGGGTGGTCCTTTTGCTTAGAAATGTTAATCTCTGGGAGATGATCTCTGCCATTCTGACTTTACCATCTGGTAGTGCAGCGTTAGTGCTGTGATACATTCACACAGACACAAGGGACGGTGTGGAGGAGGCTGTGAGTGTCTGTTGTCCCCATGTGACATCCTGTCCCCATCCCCTTCACTCTATTTCCCTGTGGACCAAGACCTCTGGGTTTTTTATCAGTGTCTTTTTTCAGCAAGCACATAAACCTCAGCTTTTTCTAACTTGTCCTCAGCCTTTTCTGTTCTGTTATTCGCTTCTCATTTGAGTTTTAACTTTCAGTTCTCAGAATTTAATGTGGCTCTTGTATCTCTTCTGCAAGTGCTAGTGCTTGCTCTCAGGGCAGTCAGGTGCCTGATAAACGGTCAGTTAGTCAGTAATGACACTGAACAGCTACTGTCAGCTGGATTTCACTCTGATCCTATAAAATAAAGGTAATGCTGAGCACTTGCCCTTCCAGGAAAGTCGTGTGGGCAACCAGACATCTCAAATGGCAACTTTCACACCAGCACCAATCTGCTGCTTGGAGCGACCATAACCTTCACCTGTAACATTGGGTAAGTGTCAGCCCAAGCTCTGGTGAGTCGAGGTGGGGTGACAGCACCCAGGGGACAGCTTTGAACAGCTGGGGCTGCTCCTCTGCAAGCACAGGCGGGGTGGGAGGTGTTTGGAGTAGGGAGCCACAGGGAATGGGCTGTCCCTCTGCTCCTGCTGTCAAAACATAATAATCCTCTGGGCCTGAGGGTGTGGACTTTGCAGATTGCTTTTTGGCTGCTTTGCGAAGAATCGGGTTCCTTTCCTGTTGCTGCTCGTTGGCAATTCAGCGTTTGTTGTTGCAAGCTGGGTCTGGCTGCCCCTGGCTGAGATAAGGAGTGCTCTGGTGTCCTGGAAAATGCTGGGAAAGGGAAGGAGGGTGGTTCAGTGTGTCAGTAACACCTGGCTCTGCTCAGAAGATAAGCTGCTGTTTGGATCTGCCACTGCACAGACGGGGCTGAACAGATGCAGGGTGAGATGAAGTCTTGCTCGTGGTCCTGTGAGCTTGTGCAAGAATTCAGTTTCCTCCAATTGCATCATGTATTGCATTCCTTTAGGTGTTGAGAAAATGGTATTTCATAGGAGGGCTGGCTGACTGTACCCTAGGGTTCAGCTTCTCCAGAGAATACCACTAGAAACTGTACAACTTTCTCAATTTCTCAAAGTTTTTGCTTTTTTTCAAAGAGATTCAACCTTTCCTTTTCTCAGGTACCGACTAGTTGGGCCACCAACTGCACAGTGTGTATTTAAAAATGGTGAAGCTTACTGGGATAACATTCCAATCTGTGAGAGTAAGCAGATCTTAACTGGTTTATGCACATCTCTTCCTCAATGCTATTGTAATGTATCTGCTGGTTTGGGGACTGGCAGGTGGATTATCTCTTCTTGGTACCTAATGCAAATTCCTTTAGCCTTTAATGAGACTGACTCCTTACCCCTCCCTCTGGAGCTGAGAATGAAAATTTAAATAGAAAGGAGGGTCTGTGGATGTTGGCAGCAGCTCTGTAGTCAGATCCATGAGAAACTTCCTTGCTGAATTGCTTTGTCAGGATCTGTGGTTGACTGGGACTGAGATGCCTTCAGACGTGGCTGCACATCCAAAATCTTTATTTTCAAAGGGGAAATAAGTGATAAAGAGTCTTGATGGTGCTATTTGGGCTTTTTTAGCACACTGTGGGATAGGCCTGACTGTCAGCTGCTGATAGTTTAGATGCTTTGCTACTATAATGGGTGTTCTGGCCTCATCCTTGTCAGCATAACAAAGGTGAGGGGGCCAGACTGCCTGGAGAGACCACATTCACTGCCCCCAAAAGACCTCTTCTGTGGTGGCAGCTCTTGGACAACAGATGCCATTTTGCTGTTTTCCCCTTTATCCATTTTAGAAAAACAAACTCTGGAAAACGTTCAGAATGGAAGGGCACATTCCAGATTTTAGGTTGAGGTGATGGCTTCTGGGGTGCTTCCCTGTCTTGTGTCTTTTTGGTTTGGGTTGTGGGTTTTTTGCTTTAGGAGTTAAATCTATATTTCATATTTGAGGGAAGTATTCCTTTGTTTCCTTACTGTTTCCTTCCCATGCAGTTATTGCCTGCCCACCACCTCCTGAAATCAAGAATGGGCAGCTCCTTGGTGGGGAAGAATTCACCTTTGGCACCTCTGTAAGTTACAGCTGTAACACTGGTTTGTCTCTTATTGGAGATGTCACAATTTACTGTACAATGGGCCCTAACTACCAGGGAACCTGGAATGCTCCAGCCCCTGAATGCAAAAGTAAGTGCTTGCTTTCTCTCCTTATTCTTTCAGCTTTGTTTCTCATCCCTCTCCCAGTTTGTACCTTCCCGATGGGCTGCCAAACATGAGAAGGTTGATTTGATCCTAAAAGGATTTCCAGGAAGTTTAATGCTGTGGGCTCTCAGGTCATGGCCAGAGGCAGGATTCTTCAACCTGCAGAAATCCTCCCTCTCCCTGCCCATGCCCAGGGCTTCCTGCAGATGAAAATGAAGTGCTCACATGCAGCTTCCTTAATGATGTCTCTGTTCCAATTAGTTGCACCTCACTGGGGACCTGCCTCTCTCCAAGTGAGAGGACAGCAGTTCTAATCTAGTAGGTGGCATCCCTGCCCATGGCAGGGACTTGGAACTAGAAGATCTTTAAGGTCCCTTCCAACCCAAATCATTCAATCATCCTATGATTCTCTTAGTGAGCTCAGTAAGCTTCTCGTGTCACTGCAGGGCTTTTTCTTCTAATAAATTTTCTCATCCTCCTATTTTCACTTCCAGTGGTCAGCTGTGAAGATCCAGACGTGAAAAATGGGAAAAGGTTGTCTGGCTTTGGCCTTGAGCACACATATAAAGATACAGTGAGCTTTGAGTGTAATCCTGGTTATAAAATGAATGGTAGTAGTGTAGTTACCTGTGAAGCAAACAGTTCCTGGACTCCACCTCTGCCAACATGTGAGAAAAGTGAGTAGAAACAAGTTTATTTCCTTGAGCAATTGTGGTGAAGTAGGTCTAAGAGCTGTAGAGCAGGTCCACTTCAAACCTGGTGCACTTGCAGCCATGCCTTTGCAGAGGGCAAGACCCCCTTGGGTCCTCAGCGTGGCAGCTCAGGCCCAAAGCTGTTTATTTGGGAATAGCAAATGATCCAAAAGCTCGCTGAAAGGAGACACACAGCTGTCTTCCACACCTGCCAGGTTTGGTTCAGCAGCTTGCAGACCTGTTGGGGATGTTTTGGCTTCGAGCTCACCTGAATGGGGGCCCTGCAGGTTGGGTTGGTGGGCAGGGAAGGAGCATCTCTGAGGCAGATTTACCCAATCTGGTTAAGCAAACTGTGACATCCACTGCTCTTTGCTGAAAGGTTTGGATACAACCTGTGTCCCAGACATTCAAGCAGGCTGTGTGCTCCAAAGCATGCAGTTCACTGCTGTCATTGCAGACCCCTTGGGTGTGTTCTGTAACCAGCCCTGTGTTTGTCTCCCACCGTTAGTCCGCTGTGGTTCCCCTCCACGCTTCCCTTTTGCTGAACTACCAACACCTGTGGGTGACAGCTCTGATTATGGAACCAAGCTGGACTATCAGTGTAACCCAGGATATAAGGCAGTACCTGGAAAGTCCTCTACTGTCATTTGTCAGAGTAATGAGACCTGGTCTGCTGCAGACCCAGACTTCTGTGTCCGTGAGTGTCTCTGTTCCTCTCCTGCCTTGCCCGGCTGTGGGAGGGATCTGGATGTGCTTGGGATGTTACTCTGAAAACTGGGTCATGCCATGGGTTTGAAGTAATTCCTGTGCTGCTTTCTTTTCTTCTAGGACAGCAATGCTCTCCTCCCGAAGTAAAGAACGGGAATGTGGCTGGAAACGAAAAAACTTTCCCCTTTGAAACAGTTGTGAAGTTCACCTGCAATTCTGGGTGAGTGGGTCACTGCTTGGAAGGGACCATCCTGGGGGTCCATGAACAGGGATCACAGGCAGCACCATCCCTCCCTCGGTTTCCCAGTGCAAGTCTCCAGTGCAAGTGTGTATTTTGGCTCCAGTGAGATCAGTGTGTGGTCAGACACCTGTGTTTGATGCAGTGAACTGCTCTGATTCAGCTCTTATTGGTGTTTTTACTTCGTGGCCACATCCCATTTCACAGCAGGATGGCCTCTGGTTAATCACTTGCCTGTGTGTGGTGGTTGGGGAGTGGGAAAAAACCCCTTCTGGAAAGGAGTAAACTTCTTCTCTTTCCTTAGGTATAAGGTAATAAACCCTTCTGCCAAATGTGTGGCATCAGGAAATGGAGTTCACTGGGATCCAGCACCTCCCTACTGCTCAAGTAAGAGGGAAAACCCCTGCACAGAGCCATTAAGATAACAGCTGGAACTGCTCTAGTGTGGCTGCCTTGCTGGTGGGCTTGGGCTGCTCTTCCTTGTGCTTCTTAATCAATCAACCCTAAAAATCAGGATTTCAATACAACTCAAGCTGTGAGGCCTTTGCTGCAATATTCCTGTACAGTTCAGAAATTATGCTGGCAAAGGGGAGGGAGCCTCTCTTTCCCATTCTGTGTGTTGCTTGTTGTTTTCCATGCTCATTTCCTCCAGTTTGAGACACTGCATGTTGTGTAGTTCATGAATAACTGTGCTGGATGGGTGCAGAGTTTCATGTTTTGTCTCCCTTCCTTTCCAGGAGCAAACATGATCGTTGTTGGTAAGTAATACAAATTCCTGAACCCCTGTACCCAGCTCCTGCCTGTCTTTGTTCTTGTCTCCTGTGTGTTCTCCTTGTAATGGGCTTAAAAGCCTTTTGTTACAGTCTCTGGTCACGTTGGTATCGTTGGTGTTTTAGGATCATGAACTGCAACGGGAGATGGGAATGTAAAGAGGAACAAGAAGGGAAAAAGATATTTAACTATGTTTGAAGTGAAGACTGAAGCTTCTTATTTGTACCTTGTAGGAATCTTCCCCCTCCTCCTGGCAATGCTGATCATGAACATCTAAGTTTGGGAACAGGCACAGTGAGAAGGCACCTGTAGACGTGTTGGACTCCATCAGACTGATCCCAGTGCTCTGCTTTTCCCTCCTGTGAGACTGGCCCTGGAGCAGCAACCAACAGGCCTGGCAAAGCCCAGATGTTCCAGCTGCTGCCTGGGAAGAACTCACACTCCTGGCTGCAGCTGCAGCACGTTGTGTTGGACACAGCAGCTCGTGGGGCTGGAATGGAGTGGGAAGCTCTCTGCCACCTGGCTGGAATGCTGTCCAGAAATCAAGTGCAGTTATCCCTGTGTTAAGTCACAAAGATGCCAAAGACCTTCAGGCTGTAACAGAGGAAGCTCAAGAAAATCCTGAGCTTTGGGTACCTCTGCACGTTGGGTTCCTCAGCCCCTCTAAGGTCATGTTGTGCCTGGTCCTGATCAGGACTTATGGGTTTCTGAAGTGTCTTGAGGTGGAAAATGCTGCCCCTGCTGAGAGGGTTAAAGTGAATGTCTTCATGTGAGTGATACCCCCTTAAACAAATTGCTTGAAACAAATGGGATGTATAAATTGGGCATTCTCTGTGAGCACTGGCAGCACTGAAAATCACAGAATTGTTAAGGTTGGAAAAGACCTCCAGGATCATCAAGTCCAACCTTTGACAAAACACCACCATATCAACTGAACCACAGCACTAATTGCCACATTGAGTCACTTCCTCAGATATTCACATTCTTCTTCATATAAAGCACAGTTGCAGCTGTTACTTCAAGGTGAATATGAACTGTTGTGCAACAGCAGGAATTTTACCTGAGAGAAAAAGTTTCAGGGCTTTTATAGCAAAGAACAGCTATTCTGACCCTTCCTCTAGGAACTAAAGTTAGTTTTAAGCTTCAGCTGAAGGTTTCTGCCCTGGCACCCTCTTTGTGTCATGTTGAGGCTTCTCCACAAGTACCTCATGGAAACAGCTCCTGTCCCTGAACTCACTGGAGCTTCTCTGGAAGTGCTGAAGCTCTCAGTGGGCTGAAGGCCCCAGGAAGAAGTGGAGCTGCTCCAAGGTCTGGCCTGGATGTAGAATTGCAGGTGCCACCAAACATCAGAGTCTCTGCATATGAACCTTTTGCTGCTCAAGTGCCCTTTGCATGGGGTAACCAGTGTGCAGAATGTCTGAATTTGCATTTTAAGAAGGATTTTTCAGGGGGTGCTGTACACCCTGACCATCCTGGCTCACACTGTGGGTCAGCTGGTGCCAGCTCAGCCTCTGGATGTCTCAGGGATTCCGTAGTGCTGGGGAGGAAAAGCAGATTTTTGGACTCTTGCTCCACTCGTGGCAGGGCTGAGGGGCTCCTGCACAGGGAGACTCTCGCTGTGATGCCTCATCCAAGGTAGGTGCAGATGGACATCAAGCCAGAGCCTTCCTGTGCTCCTCCATGGGGAACAGGACACCAACCCCACACCTTTTGTGCACTTTTTCATCCTGTCTGACCTGACCTAGTTGTTGTGCTGAGGATGGTGTGTGAGGGCAGACAGAGGGGAGGGAGGAAGTGTGTGGGATCTCACTCTCCTTGTCTAAGCCAAAGGCACAGGTAAAAATGCCCTTGATTTGTTTGGCTGATAGAAGGGCCACGCTGGGGCCTTGGTGTCCTTTCCTGGTTTGAGCTCAGCCTGGCTAAAGGGTCACTTGATAAGCTAAAGAGGTGTCATCTCATAAAATAAATACTGGAAGGTTTCCTGTTTATAAGGGAAACAAGACTGTGATGGAATTTGAACTTGTTAAGCCTGAGACACGCAGACTTTTAGCTGCTGGTAAAGCAAGATTTTGAGGTTTGGGGTTTTGTCTGCTGCTGAGGTAAGTCACCCATCTGTGAGCTTCTTGTGATGCACAGTTGGGAGCAAAACCTGTCTACTACAGACTTTTTGTTTCTCCATTTTCACCAGTGGTTTCCTGTTAACAGGAACACACATTTAGTAAGAAGGAAAAACACAAATAGCCATTTCCATCAACATGTTAGTCTTGTTCCAAATAGACCCACGAAGTTCTCTGTTCCCAGCAGAGCACTGTCCTGTTCAGCTGTCACAGGGGCACTGCGAGATCCTGTTTTCAAGCACTTTCCTGTTGCTAGTTATTTTTATTTATCTCTTACCATAAGCCATATGAGTGATTGGATGGACAAAACACCTCCTAAAGCCTTGTATCTTTGGGTTGTGCTTGGTTTTGTTATTTTAATCCCAGCACAACTGTTCCTACTCCATCATCCAGAGTGATTTTTCTGAATGATTTAACACTTGATTTGGGGACCAGCTTGGAATGATCTCCCCACAACCAAATGAAAGGAATTGTGAATGCTGTGATGTAACTTACAGGTGTAGTTGCCAAAATTCACCACTGAAGAGAGTTTATCTACTGTGTTTGTAATGGAGTTGTACATGTTTTTACTTTATAATCTGAGTGTAAACGACCAAGGGCAATTCTGAAGTGTGAATGTTGGACATGTAAATATTGGAAGCTCTCTGTCAATAAAAGGGATAAAAAGACTTGAGTAAGACATGCCTTGCTCCTTGTTTTAGGCTCAGGAAGTGTCACCTGCTATGTGAGGTGAGGAGCTGGAGGGTGCTGGGGCTGCTCCTTCCCCAAAAAGTCCTGTCTGAGGGGTTTTATTCTTCCAACCAGGGGCAGGGGATGAGCCCTAGAGCAGCCAGGGTTGGGTTAGGAGGATTCAGGTCCACAACTGCTGCTGGTCCCACATGTGTGGGAGGAGGGAATACCCCTCTCTGCCCTTCCCATACCCAGGTGAGCTGTGCTGTGTCTTTTCAGGTGCCATCACCACCTGGGGACCTGAGGCCACTTCCCCTGGGGAGGATGCTCTGCACCACGGCACAGCTCAGCTACAGCACCTCTGCCTGCACCCACACCCCCTCTTCCACAGATGCCTGAGGGTCCTGGGGGCCCATCCTCCCCTTCCAAACCAGCAGCAGCAGCGTGGGGCACCTGCAGCCTCCCCTGAGCCGGGGAGCCCACGGGTTCCTGTCCCGCGGCCCCGGGAAGTCCCGCGGCTGAGGCTCCTTCCACAGGCGGGGGGTGCTGGGGGGAACTGGGGTGTCCATATCTTCCCACCGCCCCCCCAGGAGCCACAGTCTGTGCCAGGGAGCAGAGCATGGTGCTCACCTTCACCCTCTGCCTCCTGGGCAGCTCTGCTTGGCTCCTGATCTCCACGGCTGAGGCTCGAGGTGAGTGAGACCGACAGGTCTGGGACCCTCCTCCCACAGCCCTCCTCTTTCTCGTGGCTGCTCCTCTCCTTGCTGCTGCTCCTCTCCTTGCTGATCCTTTTGCTCTTCCCTCTTGGTCCCAGGTGGACCTTGGCATGCCAGACCCTGAGCCTCTAAGCTCCTCTGCTAATAAAAAAGACCCTCTGGGGTAGTGTTGGAGCCACACTCGAGTGACTGGGGAATGGGGGGTTTAACCTTGCAGTGGGAGCTGTGGAGGGTCTTTCATTACCTACACAGCTTCTCAGAACAAGGGGCTTGACCTACATGTTTAAACTGCTAAAGTAAAGCTTGTTATGGGTGCAGCATCTTCCAGCAGTGAGACAAGGAGCTTGTTCCAAGAATTCATTGGGTTTGACCTCTGACAAATTGGAACTGTGGCAAACGGAAATGCAGTGGGATGGGGCAGGAGGGTAAAACAGCCAACAGGACTGTGCTGATCAGCATGTCTGGTCTGAAAACATGCAGGGCACAAAAAGGTGGCAGGGAGCCCAGATACCCTCTCATTTGGGATGGGACAGACACAGAAACTCAGCTCCATCACTGCAGGTGGGCTTTTTTTCCCCCTTCCCATATTTTTAGTGTGGGTGCTGTCACTTGGCTGCCCTGGTAAGGTTTGAGCAGGGTGGAGCAGACTTCTGCCTGTATCCTCAATTGTGTAAATTAGTCATTGGCACCTTGAGAGACCAAGGCTGACCCTCCTGCCTTAGCTGGCTGGGGTGGCTCAGTGGTAGACAAGTGGCTGCAAAGGCTTGGGTTATGTTTAGATTAAAAAAAAAAGGTAAGGTGTATTTTCTTCGGCTCTATTTTCTTCTGTTATACTTGGTTATCTCTGTGTTCAGCTGATTTATGTGCATTTGGTTCTCCAGCCTTCTGGAAGTTCCTGTCACTGCTCCCATGTGCTCTGTGATTCTGGAGAGCTGTGGGTCTCCAGCAAAGCCAACCTCAGAGCTGGTGAGGGGCACAGCAGAGGTGAGCTGCAGCCAAACAGCTCAGGGAGACCAGCTGTGGCTCTTTAGTCACAAAGGATATTGCCAGAGAGAGGCATTTCTCTTAAGTTCTTTCTGCATTCCCATAGCTAGAGCAAATATTTGCTGAGCGAACAAAAAAACCTCTTCCTTGTGGTTTTGGCTCTGGATGTCTGCTTACCTGTCCACCTCTCTGCATGTCTGCCTCTCCCTCTCTCCAGGGGTTCAATGCAAACAGCTCCCAGGCACCCCTGGAGAGCAGCTTCTCGTGGGCAGGTCCCCTGTAAGGTGTAGCAGAGGTTTCCCCTTGCTGGCACAGGGGTGTTCCCACACCATGGTGTTGGTGCCATGGACAGTGTGTCACAACACCCTCAGCCCATGCCATGTCCCCCACACCCAGCTCTGGCACATCCACATGCTCCTGGTCACTCAGACCCCTGGACTGCAGTTAATCCTGCCTGGGTTGGATCAGACCCAGAGGATGGGCTTCAGAGCCCGTGGGTCAGAAACCTGTAGAAGGGACAGAAACGGCTCTTGGCCTCACCAGGTGATTGATGTGAAAGCCTGGACACGCAGTTTTTGCCAGTTGAGGAAGCTGCAGGGTCCCCCAGACACACAGGGAGGGGTCCTGCAGCCCCAGGGTCACCCCCCCCCAGCTTCAGCCTCTGCCACACCCCTCTGCTCAGGATAAAGGGGCTGCATGGACACCATCCCCACGACCACAGCAACACCTGGGAGCTCTGTAGGTAAACGTTTCATTTCTCTCCCTCTTCCAGTTCCCCTGTGCCCGCTCCCAAACATCCGCTATGGGACGAGAGTACCCCGAGCTCGCCTTTACTACAGGCCCGGGGACATCGTGAGCTTCACCTGCAACCCGGGCTACACCCTGCAGGGCTCCCGCACCAGCACCTGCGGGGCTGACCTCAGATGGAACCCACCTCTGCCAGTGTGCAAGAAGGGTGAGTGTCCCAGCGTGTGCGAGCAGTGACGGCCGCGGGGGAAAGCTCCCTCTTGTGTCCTCCCAAATTCAGTGGGAAAGCAAAGCGGCGGCGGGAGAAGTTAACCCTGGAGGGTTAACCCTGGGCTGGAACCTCCCGGCACGATCTTGAGCCAGCTGTGGGAGGGCTGCCCCGGGGGGATTCCTGTTACTCAGCTCCTGGTCAGATGTGGGGCATTTTCATCTTCCTCCTGGAATGGGAACTAATCAGAGCTTCTCGCTGCTCTTGCTGCTTCCACGTCCGTGTGCATTTCTGCCAAATCCCGTGACGTGCCTGTGAGTTCTCCTGTTGGGACCGTCCTCACTGCCAGTAATTTCTTCCAGATGCAGAGTGATTGTAATATTGGTGCAGCTGCACCTTTAGTTAACTAATGTTTTGGTCCAGCAAATGGAACAAAGGCGACAGAATTTAGGATATTACCCTGATATCACTTAAACAGTCCTAGTAACTCACGAAAGGGCAAACACCTGACCCACAGGGTGATTTATTTCCCTCTGCAGAGGGGACGTGTCCTCGGCCACCCAACATTGCCAACGGGCTGCACAATGGACAGTCCCTGGGCAAGGTTTCCCGAGGAGTGACTGTGCACTACAGCTGCAAGGATGGATACACTCTGGTTGGGAATGAGTCCATCACCTGCACGGAGGTTGGGGGGTGGAGCCGGCCCCTGCCCCGCTGTGAAGGTGGGTGGATGATTCTCTTCTGGGTGTGGGCTGGCAGGAAGGATGCTGGATGTTCTGTAGCAACAGAACAGGCAGGCTTATGGCAGTGATGAAAAGAGGGCTGTGTGTGCAGGATCTGGCCCATGCATTGAAGTTTAAAGGATGCTGTCCACATTCCCTGCAGCAATTGGCTGCGAGATACCCGAGGTGCAGAATGGGAAGGTCTACAATCTGCAGAGCACCTACAAAGCTGGGGAGACTCTTCACTTTGACTGTGATGCTGGTTATGCTGCAGAGAACACCTACGAGACTCAGTGCCAGCCTGGGGGAACTTGGGATCCGCCAGGGCTCATCTGCCAGAGGGGTGAGTGTGGGTGCCCACTGCTTCCCCAGGGCAGCCCTGCCTGGCAGGGGCTCCATGCAGGCAGGAACATGTGCTCCTGTGCAGGCAGAGCTGTTCCTGTGATGGGCTTTAACCCATCAATGCAGCATCACCCCAACTCCTTTCCCCTGGCACCCTGTTCTCTCTCTGAGTTATGACTTTCTGTCTCCCTCTTGCAGTCCGACCCTGCCCCATGCCTCCAGAGATCACCAATGGAAACCACAACGGCCAGGGCAAAGCAGAGTTTACCATGGGAATGTCTGTAAGATACACCTGCAATCCTGGCTATTACCTGGCTGGAAATGCTGATGTATTTTGCAGAGTCTCAGGGAGCTGGAGCCAGCCTGGCCCTCGCTGTGAAGGTGTGTCTGTGCTCTGTCCCCTCAGGGAACAAACTTGTAACGTGGCTCTGAACACATTACCACTGAGACCTCCAGTGAGGGACTAAATTCCCCTTTAATGAAATACATGGCTTTCTAATACATAAAGAATAAGCTTAGATGCATGAATTTAGAGCCAGCACCCTCCTCCCTGTGCTCCAGTGGCAGCCTGGCTCCAGCATGGCTATGGAGAGCCAGATGTTGATGGTGCTGGGGACCAGGCAAGGTCGGGGGTGCAACACAGCTTTTTAGGGATGACCAGCTGGATTTCTATGAATCAATTCAATACTCTTTGTCCAGACAAGTCAGAGGAGAGACAGAGCATCCAAAGGCTGCTGTCAGGACAGAGCTGGCAGTACCTGGGGTTTGAGGCCTCTGCCCTCACCCTTCACCTTCCCCCGTGTCTGACATGCAGGAGGTTGGAGCTGAGCTGTCTCTCAGGAATTGTCTCTCCCAGACACTCTCATGGGCTTTTCTCCTCCCTCTGCAGAGGGGACGTGTCCTCGGCCACCCAACATCGCCAACGGGCTGCACACTGCACAGTCCCTCAACAAGGTTTCCCGGGGAGTGACTGTGCACTACAGCTGCAGGGATGGATACACTCTGGTTGGGAATGAGTCCATCACCTGCACGGAGGTTGGGGTGTGGAGCCGGCCCCTGCCCCGCTGTGAAGGTGGGTGGATGATTCTCTCCTGGGTGTGGGCTGGCAGGAAGGATGCTGGATGTCCTATAGGATCAGAGCAGGCAGGTTTATGGCAGTGACAAGAAGGGGGGAAGCTGTGTGTGCAGGATCTGGCCCATGCATTGAAGTATTGAAGTTTAAAGGATGCTGTCCACATTCCCTGCAGCAATTGGCTGCGAGATACCTGAGGTGCAGAATGGGAAGGTCTACAATCTGCAGAGCACCTACAAAGCTGGGGAGACTCTTCACTTTGACTGTGATGTTGGTTATGCTGCAGAGAACACCTACGAGACTCGGTGCCAGCCTGGGGGAACTTGGGATCCCCCAGGGCTCATCTGCCAGAGGGGTGAGTGTGGGTGCCCACTGCTTCCCCAGGGCAGCCCTGCCTGGCAGGGGCTCCATGCAGGCAGGAACATGTGCTCCTGTGCAGGCAGAGCTGTTCTTGTGATGGGCTTTAACCCATCAATGCAGCATCACTCCAACTCCCTTCTCCTGGCATCCTGTTCTCTCTCTGAGTTATGACTTTCTGTCTCCCTCTTGCAGTCCGACCCTGCCCCATGCCTCCAGAGATCACCAATGGAAACCACAATGGCCAGAGCAAAGCATTTTTTACCGTGGGAATGTCTGTAAGATACACCTGCAATCCTGGCTATTACCTGGTTGGAAATGCTGATGTATTTTGCAGAGCCTCAGGGAGCTGGAGCCAGCCTGGCCCTCGCTGTGAAGGTGTGTCTGTGCTCTGTCCCCTCAGGCAGGAGCTCAAAATGTGGCTCTGAGCACAGGGGGACCCTCACTGTTGCCACTGAGACCTCCAGTGAGGGATTAAATTCCTCTTTAATGAAATACATGGCTTTCTAATATGTAAAGAATAAGCTCAGATGCATGAATTTAGAGCCAGCACCCTCCTCCCTGTGCTCCAGTGGCAGCAGATGTCTCGCTGATTTTGTTGTTGCGTTATGAACAGCCTGTGGTTCTTTGCTTTGTTTTGCTCCAACTCCTTTTGCACACCCTCATTTCCAGTGACTGTCTGCATAAATCCAACTGCAGCCAATGGGAGGCAAGTTGATGTTCAAGGATTCATCTCTGCACCTGGGCAAACACTGACATTTCGGTGCCAGGATGGTTACAGCCTGCAAGGCAGTGCCAAGGTCTCCTGCCAGGAGGATGGAAGCTGGCAGCCTCCTATTCCCGTCTGTGAGAGATCATTCCTTCACCAGAACTCCTTAAACAGGCTCGAATCTTCAGGTAAATAATGACTTAGCTGCCTCGGGGTACACTGCTATTTTATGTCCCCTAACCCTGTTTGAAAAATGTGGTTAAACCCCGTGAGTGGAAGATTTAAGCATATCCTGAGAATAAGAACCTGTTCCTCTGCAATCCTTTGAGAAAATATGCTGTGTTTGTTTAATAATGGCTATATTAATAAACAGTTTTGCAAGGCAAACCAAACCCCTTTCCTCCTGACAGTGTGCACCCGACACACCTGCCCTGCCTGGCTCTCATGTCTGTTTTCTCTCTCAATAGGTGGTTGTGGTCCTCCCACAAGGTTACACTTTGCTGAGCTCAATGAGGAGCATAGAAATACGATTGATTTTTCTGTTGGGAAGACTGTGCAATACACTTGCCGACCTGGATATGCTAAACACCCAGGAATGTCACCTACTATTACATGCCTTGAGAGCGGAGTGTGGTCAGAAGCACTCGAGTTCTGTAAAAGTGAATAGCTCCTTGATTTGGTGTCCATTGATCAAGAAGGAATAGGTCCTAGGTTCTGTCCATGCTGCAAAAAACCTTTCTGTTAATCTGGTCCTCAAATGATATGTGACTAGTGAAGCCATGTAACTCTTTGCTGTTTGAAACCTTTTTTGGGGATAACTGGAAATACGGGCAGATGAGTAATAGTTGCATCTGTTGTGCCACAGTATGGAGAGACAGAAGGCTAAAATGAGGGTATTTTCCTCCCCCAGGGAAGCAGTGCAGTCACCCTGGTGAACCTGTGAATGGGAAAATTATTTCCCTAACAGATCTCCAGTTTGGGTCAACAGTGGTCTACAGCTGTGAGGAAGGGTAAGTCCTGGCTTTGGCTTCTGCTTAGAGGTGTATTAGGTAAGTCTCTGTTTTTCTTCCTCCTATTCACTCATTCCACATGGATTCTGTACAGAAGCCATGCAGGGTTCTGCAGTTATATAGCTTTTAAGGTGCTCACTATCTTTTCTCTACATATAAATAATTGAAGTGGGTTTGGCAGAGCGAGGAAGGAACTCCTCCTTCAGTGCCACACCTTTGCTGATCCCACCATCCAAGGTGGTCAGGGGGAGGCAGCAATCCCAACTGAACTGACTTGGGATGAACATTCAATCCTTTCAACACCAGGCACAGGTTAATTGGACAACCCAGCAGAAGGTGTGAGATTTCTGGTGGACGTGTTGAGTGGAGCGGCGACGTTCCCGTTTGCCAGCGTGAGTAGCTCGCAGCTCCAGGGGTTTGCATGGGTCTGGGAAATATTTTCCAGCAGAGACTGCCACACCTTTCCAATCAAAGCTTTCACAGGCAATTCCTCTGCCCTGCGGGCATGAAAATTATCAGAGGGTTTTGAAGTTGCAAGAAAACATTCTGGGAAAGGTACAAGATCCCAAAGCTTAATGGGTTATAGAAAGCAACGTCTCCTCTGGAGCTTTCCCAGCAGTACTTGAGTGCCCTGCTACTGACTGACATCAAGAGCCTGTTACAAGAAAGGAAGGGAAAATATGTTCAGCTTAGGGGCTGTCACTGTCAGACACAGAGAGACTGAGGGTCCGTCCTAGAGACAGAGTATTGTGCCAGCAGTGGAATCCCAAAATCCCAAACTGTGGGCTTGCTCCTACTCTCCAAGCACAAATAACTGGTTTGTACCCAAAGAGCTGCACTTCAGCAGTTACACCTGGGTGTTTCTCTGATGGTTCAGCAGTGTTGCTGATTAGGTGACAGTTTCATATGAAGACAGAAACATTTGCTTTGTTTTAAAACAGGGGTTTTAAAGCATTTCACATGTTCTCCAGGTACATATGAACCTAAGGTGATGTACAGGCTGTGCCTGTGCTTGCCTTGGCACTGCACGCAGAAAAGCAGCATTTTGCAAAAGTGATGCAAAATAACTGTTTGCTTTCTTATTTCTTAAACAGTAAAAAATACAAAGCGTGTAGGTGTTCCCTCCACAGAGGTTTTACTGGTCTGTTTTCTACCTGCCACAGAAATTGCTGGCCAGGGAGGTGGGATCCTGTTGCCAGCGAGTCCTCACCTGGGAGGTCACTTCACTGCAGTTACTCCATCACTAGAACAAGTGTTTATGTCCCACAGACTGAGGGATTTCCAGGACTTTGGTGCTGCTGTTGAACTCAAAAGCCTTGTTCTGCCCCTCTGCAGGTATCCCTTGCGAGCCACCTCCGGACATTCCCAATGGGAAGCACACGGGCAGGCTGCTGAATGAATTCCACTATGGCACAGCTGTAACATACACCTGCAACCCTGGGTTCCCACTCCACGGAGAGCCCTCCATCCACTGCACCACCCAGGACGGGGAAAACGGCGTGTGGAGCGAGCCCATCCCCACGTGTGGAGGTAGGGCTGGGTGTGGCTGCAGATACTCATGTGCCATCCTCACAGCACTACTGGGAAGTTTGGAAAGACTAGGAAATTCCAGACAGCTGGATTTCTTGCCCCAGGGTTTTCAAGGGCTGGTGTGCAGCTGAGGGCAGGAGGCTGGAGGGCCACCCTGCTGCTTCCAGCACCCCCAGCTTCACCTTTCCCTTTGGGTCTCTCTGGTGCTGTTTGAGATCCCTGGATGCAGACAGGACATCATCCACGGGAAAATTATTTTCAGGCTTGTGTCTTAAAAGGGATTGCAGTCCTGTGTGGCTTCTCAGTTGCACAGCTCTGCCTAAGTGCCTGCTTTGAGGACCTGCACTTCCTTTTTCCAGAGGCAAACTGTCCTGTCCCACGGGTCCAGAATGGGAGGATCGTGTCTCCTAGATCTGCCTACTCACACCAGGACACCGTGACCTTTGAGTGTGAGCCAGGCTTTGTCCTGCGTGGCCACAGAGTGGTCCAGTGCCAACCCAATAACACCTGGGAGCCACCCGTGCCAGTCTGCACTCAGGGCAAGTGTTCAAACAGGGCTCTGAGCCTTAACCTTCCCCTGCTCTCCCAAATCTGCCTTTTCTTGGCTCTTTTAACAACTGGTCTGGCTTCTCTCTCTTGGTAGCTGGCTGCAGTGCACCTGCCAGGCTGGAGTTTGCTGAGCTGAAGGAGCCCCACAACAACCAGACCGTCTTCCCTGTGGGGAGGACAGTGGAATACGTGTGCCGGCCGGGGTATTCCCAGCACCCGGGGATGCCACCATCCATCACTTGCCTCAGGAACCAGACGTGGTCTGTGGTGCTGGAGTTCTGTAAAAGTACGTCCTACAAGTGCTGAAGTGTCAAGCTTGGCTGGCTTTCCACATTTTCCCAGCTTTATGGGTTTCTTTACCTGCTCTCTGTGCTGGCATCCCTGGCTGGGATGTGAGTAGCAGCTGGGGGTTACCAAAGGCTGGCATTCCCTTCCAGGGAAGCAGTGTCCTGACCCGGGGCACCCAGTGAAAGGCAGAGCTGTTGTCCTGACAGACCTCCTCTTCGGGTCCAAAATTAACTACACTTGTGACGAAGGGTGAGTCTTGCACAAGCTGAATTCAGCTGCCAGGTGAGAGCCAAAGTGGATTTTCAGCTTTACACAACTTAGTTCCCAAGTCAGAAGTCTTGGCTTCCACTTACAAAGGTTGCAAAGAAATCTCCAGTCTCTGATTGTTAAATTAATGAATCCTTCTGTGTGGCTCCAGGTACAAGCTGGTTGGAAGCTCTCAGAGAACATGCGAGGTCTCCGGCACACATGTCTCGTGGAGTGGAGATGCTCCTGTCTGCCAACGTAAGTAGGCCAGAGGAAAAGGTCCTTGGTGATGGTTTGCAAGATCAAGTGGAATGTCTTTCCAAGCCAAAGATTTTATGGCAAAAGATTCGAGTCCCTGGATGTGTAAAATTTTTCCTTTTAATTTTCATTGTTCGGCTTGATGCTTCTGAAAAATGTTTCCAGAGGTCTTTTATTTATCCTGTTCCAAACTGGGAAGAAACAGTAGTATTTTAAACTCCCTGTAACAGGGTAAGTGTTTCTCACTGGGCATGTGTAGGAATGGAGTGGCTGGTCTGTCTCTGAGTGTGTCACCAATGGTTATGGAAAGGGAGGTAAGAATTGTCCCACCACCTCCAGACGGGCAGCAAGGAACTGGCTCATAGGAGGGTGCAGGTTTTTCTTCCCATGGGTGATTTTTTTCCATACAAGGTTTGTTCCTGGATGATTTGGGACACTGAACGCTGAGATGGCTCCATCCCTGTTGATTCCTTTCCTGGGTGTGTCCTGCAGTCCCTGGGTGCTGCTGCAGTGCTCAAAGTCCCCTTGTGCCTGCCCGCAGGGATCGTGTGTGCTCCACCTCCGGCCATCCCCCGCGGGACACACAGCGGGCACTCGAGGGACACCTTCTCCTACGGGGACGTGGTCACCTACTCCTGTGACTCCGGGCACTCGCTGGCAGGAGATCCCTCCATCCTCTGCACCTCCTCGGACGGGGAGCACGGAGCGTGGAGCGGGCCAGCGCCGCGGTGCCAAGGTAGGGCTGGGAGGGCTCTGTGGTGTCCGCACCGGCGAGGTTTGGTTGTCACTGGCAGGAGGAAATCCCGTGGCTCTGACAGATATTTATCCACAGGAGTTAACTGAGTTAATTGCCTTCCTCCTTTGCTTTTTAGAAGGCTGTGGTTTTACTTTATTTTCTTTCTTGCCCTGTGCATATCCCTTACCTCCTTTTGCCTCTCCTTGGCAGAGGTGAAGTGTCCTCCCCCTCCGAGCATTCCCAACGGGAAGCACAGCGGCCAGCCCTCGGACAGGCACCTGCCGGGCTCGGCTGTGCAGTACAGCTGCTCGGAGGGCTACACCCTCATCGGAAACGCCTCCATCCACTGCACTGCCGCCGGGACGTGGAGCCGGCCCCGGCCCCGGTGTGAAGGTGTGTTTGTGTTGGCTCCTCTCATCCTCCCCGGGCCCCTTCTTCCTTCTTGGCTCTTGCTCTGAGCGCTGCAGACCAAACCTCCAGCGAGAGGCGGAGATCAAAGCTCCCACAAGCAGGAGGAGCCCTATCTGCCTCTGAGGGTTTCCCTTTCTGTTCCCGCTAAGTGCAAGCTCTCAGAACAGCTGAGTAATGATATTTTGTGTAGGAAAAAGAGCTGATAATGTTGACATGCCCACGACAGTGATGTACAGCAGCAGGCACTGCCTCTGCTCAGTGTCCCTCCACACCCAGGATGGGTTTCACATCCCCAGCAGTGCTTTGTGCTCTTTTCTTCCAGCAATTGGCTGTGACAGCCCAGAGATCAAGAATGGAAGAACGACTGGGCTGGAGACCACGTACAGACTTGGGGATGTTGCTGTCTTCGAATGTGATTTTGGTTACGCCTTGAGGGGCTCTCAACAGTCCCGCTGCCAGTTTGGGGGCAAGTGGGACCCTCCTTTCCCCACCTGTGAGAAGAGTAAGTGCAAATGAGGTGGAGGGTGGCAGCTGATTTCTTCTGAACCACTGTGTGAGTGCAGCTGGCAGGGTGCAACACTGGAGGTAAAGGGGCTGCTCGCAAGGACTGGAAGGGAAAATCAAATCTGTCTCCCACCTCCATAATCCCCATTCAAGCACTGGAACAGGGATTTCAAAGACATGCAGATGACATGGTTCAGTGGTGGGCTTGGCAGTGCTGGGTTATTGGTTGGACTTGATGAATTTAAAGGTCTTTCCCAACCTAAATGATTCTATGATTTTCTAATTCAGACCTTTGTAATGTAGGACTTTCACCTCTTTAAATGACTCCGCAAAGGGACTGGGAGCCAGACTGGTGTCCAATCTCATTCACAGCCACAGAAAGCCCAGAGCAAGCTGTCAGGGCCACAGATGGAAACTAACCACTGTAGTTTCCTAAATAGTGAGAAATTATCATTCTTGGTTCAATAAACTCAAAAAATATGAAGGCTGGAAGGTAAGTGAGGGTAGGATGGAAATATCATTCAGTGACATCCCTTAGTAGCTACTGGGCACAAGTTGATGGGAAAGAAAGAAGTTAAAAGGCTGCCTCACCCTACAGTGGGGGTTTGTGGTACCAGCTCTTTACCAGTTAGGACTTTTTCCCTCCTGCTAGTGCTGCCATGTCCTTCCCCTCCAAATATCAAAAATGGCCGGCACGACAGCAAGGATGTGGATGTGTTTATCCCTGGAATGTCAGTGAAGTACTCCTGTGAGCCGGGGTATGTCCTCACTGGGAAAACAACAGTTTCTTGTTTGACATCTGGATCCTGGAGCATCCCTTACCCCCGCTGTGAAGGTGAGCTGTAAATGCTGTCACCCACAGGGAAAAGGGAGGCCACGGTGGTCTCACGGCCTCCCCTGAATTTTGACCTCTTAAAAACAAACGGGGTGGGCTGTTTTTAACAAGCTCTGGCAGCTGCTCCCCCAGCCCGTTGCTTTGACACTTTTCCCTGGCAGTGATCACCTGCACAAGCCCCAGCATCCGGGATGGAGAGGTGGCTGAAGGCTGGAGGGCTGTGTACCTTCCTGGGGCCAATGTCACCTTCCAGTGCCACCCAGGCTACGTCCTGCGGGGCAGCCGTGCAGCCAAGTGCCAGCCCGATGGCCGCTGGGTGCCTGCTGTGCCCACCTGTGAGCGAGGTGAGCATGGGCATGTGTGGGTTTAGAAGGAGGCCACCCCAAAAAAAGTATGGCCGGCAGGTTGAGGGAGGTGATTCTGCCCGTCTGCTCTGTCCTGGTGAGACCCCACCTGCCTCCAGCACTGGGATCCCCAGCACAGGAAGGACATGGAGCTGTTGGAGCGAGTCCATAGTTGATAAGAGGGATGGAGCATCCCTGGTATTAGGAAAGGCTGAGGGAATTGGGATTGTTCAGCCCGGAAAAGAGAAGGGTTCAGGGTGACCTAATTGCAGCCTTCCAGTACCTGAAGGGAGCTGACAAGAAAGGTGGAGAGAGACTCTTTACAAGGGCCTGGAGTGACAGGGTAAGGGGGAATGGTTTCACACTGACAGAGTAGGTTTAGATTAGATGTTAGGAGAAAATTCTTCCCTGTGATGGTGGTGAGGCACTGGTAGAAGTTGCCCAGAGAAGCTGGGGCTGCCCCATTCCTGGGAGTGTCCCAGGCCAGGTTGGATGGGGCTTGGAGCAACCTGGGCTAGTGGAAGGTGTCTCTATACTATATGATCTTTAAGGTCCCCTCCAACCCAAACCATTCAATGATTCTATGCTTGCTATGCTGGAGTGGCCCTGAGGTCATGCTTTCTGCCTCACCCACGTCCCTTCAGGTGTGACAGTCCTTTGCTGCGTCACATGTGCTCCTCTGCTGGGCAAAATCACTAAAACTCTGCTCTGTGCTCCTGCCCTGGCAGTGCTGCTGTGCCCTGAGCCTCCCGTCATCGCCCACGCCACGCACGGCGCCGAGCTCGGGGCCAACTTCACCAGCGGGATGTCGGTGACCTACAGCTGCCAGCCCGGCTTCTCCCTCCTCGGAGCCCCTTCCATCTGGTGCACGGCCTCGGGGAGCTGGAGCCTTCCATACCCACGCTGTGCAGGTGGGACCAGCTGCCCCCTCGTGCTCATCCTGGGTCAGCCAAACCTGCCAACAGCCACAGCTGGCACGAGTGGCAGGAACCACGTGTCCAGTGACACCTGTGGGTCTAAACGTGCTTCCAGCACGTGCAGGAGCCGTGTGCCCTTTGGTGGCATTGGGAATGAGCTGATGGCATTGCTAAAGCCCGTGGTTTCCCTAAAGGAGGCAGGTTTGGGTGTTCTAAGTACTGGAATTGAAGATTTCTCCACTCTACAGCCCAAAGATGGCACAGTGTGTGATGGCAGAGATGTGTAGGATGTGCAGAGCACCAAAATGGCTAAACTATTTTTGAGGGCATTGTATTTTTTGGGAGCATTATATTTTTTAACAACTATTTTTAGGGGCATTGTATTTTTGGGAAGTATAGTATTTTTTTAAGACTATTTTTGGGGGCATTGTATTTTTTGGGAGCATTATATTTTTTAAACTATTTTTGGGTGCATTAAATTTTTTGGGAGCATAAAATTTTTTAAAACTATTTTTGGGTGCATTATATTCTTGGGGAGCATAATATTTTTTTTAAACTATTTTTGAGGGCATTATATTTTTGGGAGCATTATATTTTATTAACAACTATTTTGGAGGATATTATTTTTTGGGAGCATAACATTTTTTTAAACTATTTTTAAGGGTATTGTATTTTGGGGGAACATAATATTTTTTAAACTATTTTTGAGGGCATTATATTTTTTGGGTGCATTATATCTTTTTAACAACTATTTTTAGGTGCATTAAATTTTTTGGGAGCATAAAATTTTTTAAACTATTTTTAAGGGCATTGTGTTTTGGGGGGCATTGTATTTTTCAGAGGCATTACTTTTTTAAATTATTTTTGAGAGTGTCATATTTTTTAAACTGTTTTTGGAGGCATTATTTTAGTTTGGGGGGGTTTTAAGAGCATGTAAATTAGATGCATGTGTCCTTACATGCTAAATGTTAATTTCTGTGTTCAAATGTATCAGAATACACAGAAGGTATATTGATACCTTGGGGTTTAACAGTGGCTATAAATGCACTTGTTTCTCTGTAACTGCATTTCACAACCAAGGATGTGTTTCTCATGTGCATTTTGTTTCTTGGCAGCTGGTTGTGGCACACCAACAACGTTGTTGTTTGCTGAGCTGAACGAGGAGTATAAAAATCAGACTGAGTTTCCTGTTGGGAAGATTGTGGAATACACTTGTCAGGCTGGATATGTGGAAGAGCCACAAATACCACCAACTATTACATGTCTTGAAAATCAAACCTGGTCTGAAGCCCTGGAGTTTTGTAAATGTATGCTTTGCAGATGCTTCTAGTTTTTTTAAAATGCTGTGGGAGGAAGCCTTTTCTGTAATTTCTCCTTTTCTGGAGGATTTGGCTCCTAGAAATAGTGATCCTTTTCCTATGGCACTGAGTTAAAGAAGCTTAAAATCAGATTCTCGTTCCACCCCCCTGCCATGGGCAGGGACACCTTCCACTAGCCCAGGTTGCTCCAAGCCCTGTCCAACCAGCCCTTGGACACTTCCAGAGATGGGGCAGCCACAGCTTCTCTGGGCAACCTGTGCCAGGGCCTCCCCACCCTCACAGGGAAGGAATTTCTTCCTAATATCCCATCTAGCCCTGTCCTCTTCCAGTTTGAAGCCATTCCCCCAGGCCCTTGTCCAAAGTCTCTCTCCATCTCTCTGGAAGGGGCTCTAAGGTCTCCCCAAAGCCTTCTCTTCTCCAGGCTGACCAACCCCAGTGTTCTCAGCCTGTCTTCAGGGAAGAATCACTTCAGCCCTCTAAGCATCATGTCCTTGCCCTTTTCTCAATTTTGTCTTGTCCTCTCTCTTTAGTGCTGCAATGTCCTTCACCTCCAGCTGTTGCCAACGGAAATCACAACAGCCAGGACTTGGAAGTTTTCCCCCCTGGGATGGTTGTAAACTACAGCTGTGACCCTGGGTACAGCCTCCAGGGAGAGGCATCCATCTACTGCACCGACTCTGGCAACTGGAGCCTCCCTCTCCCTCAGTGTGCAGGTACACTGTGGTTCCAAGCTGGGAGTTATGGACAGTCTGGGAGTTTGTAGGATTTGCCCTTACCCGTGCCAAAATTTGGAATCCTTCAGCCCTTCCCCTTTGCTTTCCGTTCGTCTTGTAAACTCACCCGTGCGTGCTCAACAGACATTTTAAAACCACTTTGTGTGGTTGATATCCCTACTTCTCCCTCTGTTTTCTTTCCTGGTAGGTGGCTGTGGTGCTCCTCCAAACTTCACCTTTGCTCAGCTCACTAAGGAACACAGAAATCAGGTGGAATTTGCTGCCGGGGACACCGTGCGCTACAGCTGCCAGCCAGGATACATGAGACGCCCCGGAGTGCCCCCAACTCTGACTTGCCTCAAAAACCACACGTGGTCTGAAGCGCTAGAGTTTTGTAAAAGTGAATAGCTCCATCAGTTTGGTGTTGTTGGAAATTGTCTGATTTGTGGGTTTCTTATTTAAAAAAAAAAAAAAAAAAGGTTTTCATACATGGCTTCACTAGTCACAGAGTTTGGGCCATTATTGGCCACTTAGAAATCAAAATTATTGGTGTCAGAATGTGGACAGAGCCTTAAGATACCTTCTCATAATGTGTTACATGACTACAAGAGAGGAGTTTAAACTCAGCCTTGTTCTTTCCCAGGGAAGCAATGTATATATCCAGAAACACCCAAGAATGGCAGAGTTGTTGTTCTGACAGATCTCTTTTTGGGGTCCACCGTGAGCCACACGTGTGAGGAAGGGTAAGTCCCATGCTGCCTTTGCTGATTGTGTCTGAGCTTGGTGTTGGGCAACTTGTGGTGAAGCATCAGAGCCCATTCCTCTGAGCAGCTGTTCTCCCACAGCAAGCCAGAATGTGGATTTTTGGTTCCAATTTTGCCTGCTTAGGAAAGGCAGAAGTGTCTCATTTTTCCCTTCCTGTGCTCAGTAGATTAATTTGCACACCTCAGTCTCAGTTTTGCATCCTCAGACGGCCACCAAGCAGGAGCTGAGAGTGCCAGCAAGGAGGCTCCAGCCCTTTGGAAATCAGCTGGGTCCAAGTCCTGATTTAGCACCTGACCAACCTGACCTGGAGTCATTTGGGATCAGTGTTGTTCCCCCTGGATCTAGGAAGAAGGAACTTGGTGTCCTTCACCCCCATGTGTCAAAGCAGCAGAAACACCCTGGTGACCAGCCAGAATCAGGAGGCTGCAGAGGGAAACCTCTGGGGGTAGTGTCAGAGTGGGAGTGCAAAATCCGAGCTGAATGACCTGGAATCAGCTGATATTTGTGTCTCTGTAACTCCAGGCACCAGCTGGTTGGACAGTCTCACAGGAGATGTGTGATTTTTGGACGAGATGTCACATGGACTGGTCTTCCTCCCCTTTGTCAGAGTAAGTAGGTCACCACTAGCAAGCCCAGAACTGGCAAATTAAGTCCTTAAAATCAAAAAGTGGTATTCTTTTAAATAAATAGAATTAGAGGAATTTGACTTTTAAAGCATAATATTCCCCTAGGATAGGGGGTTTTTTTGGTGCTTGCATGTTTGGTTTCTTCTAAAAATCTTCCAGATGCAAGCTTTGAATCTGCCATAGAAATGTAGACTGAAGAGCTGTGAGATGCCTGCAGGGATTTGTCCCTTTTTGTTTCACAAATATAAATAATAAATCAAGGAAGGAATGTGTTTTGCAGTAGAAGAGTGGGACATCGAGTAAAACCAAACTGGAATCTTCCAAATCCTGTGCTGTTATTTGCAGGGGTTGATCACTGCAGTCAGTTTTTCTTTCAGATGGAATTGCTTTAGAAGGTGAGTTTGGGATAGTAAAGCAGTCATGAGGATGGCTAACAGTGCTTACAGATTTCTCCCCCATTTAATACATTTGTTGGAATGTATTTGCACTATTCTGTTCATAGCCACAAACTATGTTCAGATATATAATACAACCTTAGGGTACTTAAATGAACTAAAAAGCCCTGGGTTCTTGAAATTATTCTTCTCTGAGTCTCCTGTGAAAATCCTCTGAGCACACTAAGGATGGACTTTATACGTGCACCAATTAAAGCATAAATATGGCTTCATATTCATAAATACGAATTTATTTTTCAGAGGTGGTGTGTCCACTCCCACAGATCCGGAATGGGAGGGTAACCCCTCTTAAATATCGCTACACATACAAAGACACTGTTACTTTGAAGTGCCGCAGAGGTTTCACCTTGCGAGGCCATCACACCTCCCAGTGCCGAGCTGATAAATCCTGGCATCCGCCTCTCCCCGCCTGTGAGCAGGGTAAGTCTCAGCACTTGGACTCCAGATTCCTCCCCGATTTCTACCCACTCAACAAAGCTGAAGTTGCCTTTATTTTTCCTGTTTGCTCCCATTACTTGAAGGAGAACCCAGAAATTGTTCCTTTTATTATTTATGCCTCTCTTTTTGCACAGGAGGTGAGCCAGGGGTTGGGTAATGCTGTAAGTATTAGCATGATTTGCACTTTCTCATGCTGCTTCTTGTAACCCAGAACCCACATTCTCTTAATTTCCTGAATGTGAGAAATTTGGCAGCTTCAAGGCAGGACACTGACTATCAGAGAGGAGTGAAGTGATGGAAATGTAAATGCAGGATGATGGGAAATGAAGGTAAATTTGTGCATTGTGTTTGCTCACCCACATTTTTAAACTCTCAGTGTTGCATCCAGATGGAGTGGCAGAACATTATCATCATCCCAACACCACAACAAAGCCAGGTAGGTCTATCCTAAGAAGAGGAAAGATTTACTAAACACTAATTCCTCCTCCCAACCTGTCCTGCTTTTTTGAGGGAAGAGGGATAATTGACCCTCTTTGCAGAGGGTTGGCTCTTTGTGTTGGAGTCAGTGCTGTGGGAGTGAGTGTTCAGCTGCTCAAAAGTTTTCTCTCTTGCCTCTGTGAGCCCTGTTTTGATCTGAACACCTCTGATTTTAGTGCAGCACTGCTCCAAGCCTGCAGATATCACTCATGGGTCTCTCAGCAGCCCAGCAAAAGCGTTTTTCACTCCTGGAACATCTGTGAGCTACATCTGTGATCCCGGCTTCTCTCTCCTTGGGATAGCATCCATTTATTGCACACCATCTGGAGCCTGGAGTCATCCTCCTCCCATCTGTCAAGGTGTGTTTTTGTAGCAGAGAGCTAAGAACAAAGGACATTTAACAAGTCTTGCCTTAGGGAAAGGTTTGTAGAAGGACTGCATCTGAGTCCTTCACTACACAAAATGTGATAAGAACAAGATCAGGTTTATAACCATTTCCAAAGCCTACTGGAGTTACAGGGGTACAGGTTATTGAGCCAAGGTGAAGTAATTCAGAGGAAACAATGAAGCCTGCAAAGGTACACTGCCTTGGCCACTCTCTGCAGTTCTTCAGGATCCTCTTGTTTGTTTCTCCCCTCCCCAACTTCCCAGCTGTGAAGTGCCTCCATCCTCCAAACATCACCGATGGGAAGCTCAAAGGCAACATCTCTCACACTTTTCCCTATGGAGCATCTGTGTCCTACAGCTGCAATCCTGGTTATTCACTTGTTGGGAATGCTTTTATCAACTGCACGGTGTCAGGAACCTGGAGCCAGCCTCTTCCTCAGTGCAAAGGTGGGTTTTGTGGTTCCTTTGCTCCTGTTGTTTGGAATTTGTGGTGGCAGAACCAGACTGGGCTGAGGGACGTGCAGCCACGCTGACCTACACGTCTTACTTTGGGGAGAAAATTAAATCTTCAGAGATTCAAGGGCCAAAATCTAAGCAGTAAGATCTCCTGCAGCTAACACTGAATTCCATCCCCTTATTTGGCCTGGGAACTGCTTTTATGTCACAGCTAGGATTGCTAGTGTGGGTGTTCCTGCATGAAAAACTGGACAATCATCATCATTACCCACACAAGGAGCTGCACCCGCCTCAGTGACTCAAGAATTGAAAATCTCAGATAACAATGGGAGGAAATAACCTACCAAACGCTTACGTAAATAAATCAGAGGCTCCTTAAAGGAAGCAGTCTCAGAAAAGTTCTGCCAGCCATTCCATATTTTTGTGGCTTTGAAGTATCTTTATTAGTAGTACAAGTGATAGTAAATATATATGTATATATACATATGACATAAAATAAATGGTAAATATTACATGCTGATATTACCCCTTTGCTCACTGAGAACCTTTTCCAACAGAATCCTTGGACTCGGACTGTTAAAGATGATGAGATGCTTGAATTGAAGCAACTGACTCACTTTAGTTTTATAAATAGCTTAGATGGGTGGACTAATTAATGAATTAATTATTGATGATGACATCTTTGGAGGGCAAGAAACTTTTACAGACTAGAAGTGGTTTGTATGCAGCTGGTTCTAAAACTGCCACAGAATTCTTCCCTGCTACATCTTTCCTCTCCAAATGTTTTGGTAGCCCAGCATCAGAAATATCTCCTCTGTCAAGCTTCTCCCAAGGTAACTCTTCTACACATGATTTTGCATCTGCCATATCAGTGTGGAGGAGCTGATCTGTACAAATATTCATTTGTGGCAGTGAGACCCTTACCCACCTCTGCAGCCACAAAGAAAGGAACTACCCTGTGGAATAAGACTTAATTCCTAGCTACATTCAGAAGGAATTCAAGAACCGTGTTCTAAATAACCCACAGTTGTATTTCTCATGTTTTATGGTCCCTCTCATTAAATGCTCTTTTTTGATTACTTCCAATTCCAGAGATCAGATGTGAATTCCCGGATGTTCAAGGTGTTAAGAAAGCCATTAAAGGAAACACTTATCGTTCTGGGACCAACCTCACTCTTGAATGTGATGATGGTTACACATTGCAAGGCATCAGTCAGACTCAGTGCCAAGAGGATTTCAGCTGGGACCCTCCTGTGCCACCCTGTAAACTGAGTGAGTGAAATGGGAATGAAGCAAAGATCAGACAGAAACACATAAATGCATTTTAAACATGCAAAATAACTTCTTGTATTTAAGAAAAGAGTATATAATGGTGGGTTTAAGAAATCAGTTTTACCAGTGAGATGCTGGCCCAGAGAAGCTGTGGCTGCCCCATCCCTGCAAGTGTCCAAGGCCAGGTTGGACAGGGCTTGGAGCAACCTGGGCCAGTGGAAGGTGTCCCTGCCCATGGCAGGGGTTGGAACAGGATGATCTTTAAGATCCCTTCCAACCCAAACCATTCTATGATTCTAAAAGGTTTATTGGTAAAGTGATTAAGGACAGCAGACAAACACTGGATTTTGTTAGAAGAGTTTGCTGATTTCTCTTTTTTTCTCTTTTTTTCTCCTCCCTCCAGCATCACACAAGTCTGGGTCACTAGGCCTCGGTAAGCAGCTTGCAAACATTCCTGCAGCCAGGTCTTTAGCTCAGTGGCACTGTTTCCTTCTGCTTACTTGGCAGATACACCTTGTTACGTCTTTTGTGTGCTTTCAAACACACAGTGAGAATAATACGGGCTCTTCTCTCTCAGGAGTCGCAGCCGCGGGAGTTCTGCTGCTCCTGGGGGCAGGCATTGTCTGGAAAATAGTTTCCAAGCAGAAGGAAGGGTAAGGCAGCCCTCTGGATGTTTATTCATGTCCTTTGTTGCCAAGTGCCAAGCTTTATACACTTTAAAAAATATTTGCCTGAATGTGCCTGGGTCTTGTGATTCTGCACCTTCAGCTCACGCTTGCAAACTGAACAAGCTGGAATAGATGGTGTGGTTTTGTCATTTTATCTCTTCCTGAAAGGAGACCAACCTGAATGTTCTCTTACAAAGCAACACAGTTCATTGTTTTCTTCTTTTTCACTTAGCTATTATCGTACATATGAAAATTACAATTACCAAACAACCCCTCTGAATCTGGTAACTCAACAGAAAAGCTCATGTCTGCCATAGAAGGTATGGATTTATATTTCTCAACATAAAATATCAGTTATAGCTGCAACAATTATATGCTTATTTGTTTATATTGTTGTCTACATTGTCTACTTGAATGACTGTTTTTCTAATATAATCATTCAAGCAGAAACCTCTTTCCCCTTAATCTTCTGGTAAGATGTTTTCTTTGGCAGAATAAAAGAGGCTGTTTTAAACATACTGGGGTTTTTTTAGACATCCTATTTTTCTTTCTGACACCAACCTCAACATGTGTCTTTCCTTTTCTATAATCTGAATGGATAGTGCTCACAGGTCAGACTTCCAGACTAGTCCTTGCTTCTGACATAAAGCTGCTTTCAATTTTTTTATGGTTTATGGGAGAGCTTGCTCTCTAAAAGACTACTTAACCAGCAGTAGTGTCAGAAAAAGACACTGAACTGGGCTTTTGGGTTTTTTTTTTCTTGCTTTCACACTTACTACGATGATATTTTTACTGACAGGTAAATCTACTTTCTATGCTGAATCTGTTGGAGCAAAGAGTGAATTTTCAGTGTAAGCAGCACTCTGAGCATAATCAGCTTTGACTATAAAGAGGCTTGGTTTTGGGTCACTTCTTTGAAACAAAGCACTTCCCAGAAATTCTCTCCTCCCTCCCTGAGTGACAATGTAATTCCTAGACATCAGCACGGAAACAGGAAAAGTCTAATTATAACACGAGCATGTCATCTTTTTCCTAGGCTGGGCACCCGTGTGGCCGCTAACCAGGGACTTGGCTCGTTCTCCACAGCGAGGGGCTGAATGGAAGTGCTGCTCGAGACTGAAATTCTGTGGCAAAAAATAAGACACTTTACTGTAAATCTTTAATGCTTATTCTGCTCCCATTAATTACTGTAAGGATCTAACGAGGCTCAGACTGCACGCGGCGCAGATGCTGCCCCCGAGGGAATTCTGTGTGCTGCTTCTGATCAAGAATACTTCATCTGCAAAGCCAAAAAAATCTGGATAAGCAAGTCCCATTAAAGCGTTCCTGCGCGGGGGTGGGAGTCACAGCACGTTAATTAATGTCTTAATAACAGCTGCATTCACATCTCTGTATTTCCTTTCAGCAACGCTTACGCGCAGTGTTCCTCTAGAAATGCTTAACATAATAAAAGCTGAACCCTGGACAAGAATTTTGTGTCTTTTTCTAGGTCTGTCTAGAATTTGAAGGTTTTTTTTGTGTGTGTGTTTTTGTGTGTACGTGGTTTGGGTTTTTTTATTTTATTATTATTTTAATGCTGCTCTGCAACAGGGAACGTGCTGAGGGTGTTGCAGAATTTGGAGCATGTCGAGATTATCTTAAGTCGGGATGTTCTTTGATGTAAGATCTTCGTATCCTTTCAAGCCTCACCAGTAGGAAAGGAGAACTAATAAGTGGAACAGGCAGAAGCTGCATCCCTTAGTCAAGGACATCCTGGAACTAACAAGCTTTAAGGATGTAGTAAATCGAGATGTTGATGTGTGCTATGTAAACATGGCAAAACACTCGAGGTCCACGAATATAGTCCATAATTCCAAGGAACTATGCTTTATACTAAAAACCACGCCTTTTAATACCAAAAATCAGGCCACAGGTCAAACAGCCCCTTCACCTGAGCATGCGGAGAGGCCGGACGGCATTACGTAATTTGTGTGGAAATCACTAAGTAAATCATAACGGCGGGGCTGCGCTCGGGAAGCGACTCTGAATTTCCGCGCACAAATAACGGCGCGGAAGGCCCGGCGGGGCGCGCCGGACTCGTCGAACACCGCCCATGAGCGGGGCTGGGGCGAAATAAATAAAGCAGCGAGCGGTTCCCGTCGAGCCGCACGGCGGGGACGGGCCCTCCTCTGAGAGCGATAATGGCGCGCGGCATGGCGCATGAGGCGGGGCGGGCCGCGCATGCGCCCCGGCCCGCGCTTGCCGTCTCGGCGCTGCTGAGAGGCGGAGCGGGGCGCTGCCGCGGCCCCCCGCCGATCATGGGGCCGCCGCCGCCTGCTTGCTGCCGGTGCTTGCCCTTCTCGTGCTGTGGTGCTCGCGGAGCGCGGGCTGAGGGTGAGAGCGGGTTGTCTTGCCCCGCTGCTCGGGGGTGCCTGCTGCCAGTGGGAAGGGCGCGCTGAGGGCTGTAGTGCGTCCGCGGAGCCCCCGCCCCGGGGGAGGGGGGGAAGGAGGGAGAGGTGTCGCCGGGTGTCCTTCCCGCTCCGGTCCCGGCGTGCCTGCGGCGGTGAGGGAGCCTCAGAGGCTTTCTCGGGAGGGAAGAGGAAATGCGTGGTAGGTGCGCCGTGGAACCACGAAGGTTGATTGTGGCCGGTGTTGCTGTGTGTGTGGGAGGGGGGTGGGGGGGTTGAATCGTCGAACGGTTTGCATGGGAAGGGACCTTATAAAGTCATCCCTCTTCCACCCCCTGCCATGGCAGGGACACCTACCTCCACTAGCCAGGTCTGGGTTGGCCTCAAGCCCTGTCCAACCTGGCCTTGGACACTTCCAGGGATGGGGCAGCCACAGCTTCTCTGGGCAACCCGTGCCAGGGCCTCCCCATCCTCACAGGGAAGGATTTGTCCCTAATATCCAATCTAAACCTGCTCTCTGTCAGTTTGAGGCCATTCCTTCTCGTCCTGTCACTCCACGCCACTGTAAACAGTCCCTCTCCAGCTCTCTTGGAGCCCCTTTCAGGTACTGAAAAGGTGAGGGGGGAAGGTGGTGCTGCAGAAAGGTTTGGTGCTAATGGGACGCTGAGCTTTGGCCAATTTCTAAACAATAATAGAAATAGCTCGGGAAAGATTGATAGGTGTCAAAGAGGTGCTGGTCTCTGTGTTTAAGTCTTGCAGATCCATGTAGTCTGGTGATTCATATAGAGGATCTTGAATGCGTTTCTTTGAATCCTTTTGTGTGGAGGAGTTTAATTTCTTCAGCTTTAGGAGCTGGACTTCAATGATCCTCATGAGTCCCTTCCAACTGAGGATGTTTTGTGATTCTAACCAACCCCAGAATGTCCCTGGGTCTGTAGGTCTCTGTTGGATTGTGCAGCTGATTTTTAAACTCTGCTTTATGCTCCTTAGACTTGCTCTCCTTTTTCCTGTGAAAACTACATGACATATTTTCATAACATATTTTCACTATCAGCTATTTGAGTGGGGCTGGCTGGTTTGTTTTTCCTGCAGCAAGCTAAATAAGCATTTCACTGCCGATGGGTTTACAGTGAGTTAAGTTGTGTATTTAACTTCAAAGAAAAAAAGGCAGACAAAAAATAAGATCTGGAAGGAAATGCATTGTCTGGGTAGAATTTTGAAGGACTTGGGAAAACAATAAGTACTAGTACAGAGTTGAACGTTGATGCAACTGAAATCTAAATTAAAATTTGGAAACTAGTTAAATATTAAAACATCTCTGGCTCTTAAGAATGTCACCTCTTGGATTTACCAGTAAATCCTTAAAACCCCTGGAATTCCCCTGGCTTCTGTGCTGTTACACCTCGGTGTGTTTCTCTTGTTGCTAAGGTTGTGTATTCCCTTTTCCTCCCTCTCCCAGACGTGTGTGATATTCCAGCCAGGCTGCAATACGCGGAGCTGGAGGAGAAGTTCAGAGGAATAGAGAGTTTTCCTGTTGGAAGTCAAGTCTCCTTCATCTGCCGGCCGGGATATATGAAAATCCCTGGAAAATCCTTAACTCTTACGTGTGGTCCTGACTTACAGTGGTCACCCAAAGAGCAGTTCTGTACAGGTAATTGTGTGCTTTTTTGGTACCGTTTTCCTTTTTCCCTTTGATATTCAACAACTTTATTTGGTTTGCAAGTTAGAATTAGTATTTTGCAATGTTATAACCAATGCTTTGGAAACCACTGATGTTGGTAAGGGCAATATATGCCAAAGACTTTGTATATATAATTAGAGGTATACATTTTTCCTTTCTTTTTTCCCCCACTCTCCCAGAGAGAAGATGTAAGCACCCAGGAGAATTAGCAAATGGTGTTGTTGATGTGACAGATCTTACATTTGGTTCAACTGCTACTTTTTCTTGTCGAGAAGGGTAAGTATTTTGGTGAAGTTTATGAATCCTTTTTTTTTTTTTGGTATGTGTACACAGATCTGAACCAAACCCAAATTTTCTGTACAGGTTCCATTCCAGTTCTGATTTGAAATCTGAATTCTACCTGGAGCAAATGAACTTAGAGCTAAATTTAGCTTGATTCATGGCTTAAGTGCTGTTTGCATCAACCTTCAGCTTTTTAGGGAGATTCTGCAGAGTGAAAAGTAGAGTGTTACCTCTAATGACTTTCTTCTAGTGCTCCTGTGGCAGAGGGAATAAATATATACTCATCACCCTTCATTGTTCTTTTGAACAATGGCCCATTTGTTTGTGTATAGCAAATTATGCCAGGAGTACTAAGCTCTCCAATGTTTTTCCTCTCTTTCCTTTAGTATTAGTAACTTCAGGGAATTAGTGTCACATCTTAAAATGTGACTTTCATCAATTTCTTTAGTGATGTTTCTTTTGCTTCTGTTTTGTTTTCAGAGTTTTTTGTTTTTGTTTCTGATTGCTTCTGTTTTGTTTTCAAAGTGAGACCCTTAGCAAAATAAACAAATGAAGATACTTTTCTCTTAGCAAAATAAACAAATGAAGATACTTTTGTTACAACAATACCTTGGTGTGTTATGTCCCCATAACCACAGAACAGAGCTGTATAAACCAGTTTTTTAGGTGCTTGTTGGAGAAATGAGAGATTTAAGTTTAACCTCTTTAAAAATGTTTACCTCTCTAGATACAGATTATATGGAAACGAGCAGGTTACCTGTGTAATTAGGAATGAAGGTGTTGATTGGGATCGTGAGATGCCTTTCTGTGAAGGTGAGTAAATCACTGCTTAGTTTTCTATTCAGGTGGTGGTAGTTCATTTAAAAACAGCTATGCTATAAACCTTCCAGTCTAAGAAATGATGGTAAAATAGGAGTGTTTGGGGGGGTTTTTGGTAGGTATTTGGGATGTGCCTGAAGGATGACCACTGAAAAATACCAGTTATGGTAATTATATCAAATTCAACCTCATGTTGTAATTGAGATTCTCAGCTACAACTGTAGCTTGCCTTAGAGCAGCTATGTCAGATTTTAAGTGAAATTCCTTGGAAATCAAGGCTTGCTGTTCCTGAGGTGAACGAGCTGACACACCCAACCTTCTCTCTGAGTGAGTTGTGTGTTTGGTTTCCAGTGATTCCCTGTGATCCCCCTCCCAGCATCACCAATGGGCACCACACAGAAGCTGCCAACTACGTGTATCAGACTGCAGTGAGCTACTCCTGTGATACTGTCCCAGCAGGCTCAGATCCCTTCTCCCTCATCGGCTCAGACACCATTTTCTGCACATCTGATAAACACTCAAATGGAGTTTGGAGTGGGCCACCTCCACAGTGTAAAGGTTGCTGGGATTTTTAATTTTTTAATATGTATTTGTTACGATCTCTGTCCCTTTTTTCGAAGCAGGGTGTGGTGGGGAATGGACCCTCCTTATAGAAAAGAAGAAGCAAATCCTCTGGTGCTAAGTTTTACACAGTTGCATTGGAGATCAGGTTAGCAGGGTGGATACTGATTGCTTATGGCACAGAATATGGCTAAAATTTAAGTTAAAACTTCAAAAATACATGTATGAGTGTCTTGTTGGTAGAAGTGACAAGGCCAAAGTGGAGGAACTGAGAGACCACAAAGCCTGGGTAGCTGAAGAAAAGCTATGTAAAGAGCAAGGATGTGGAAGCTAGATTAGGAATAGTAAAAAGCTAAGGGAGCATCCTTTTCCTGAAAACACAGCTACTGGGGAAGTAGAAGAATAAATGCAAAGCCCAGCAAGCACAGACTCAGATGTAGGAAGAAATTCCAGGTGCATGTTGTCATTTGAACCCTAACCAATATAATTTGTTTGCTGAAATCCTGCCACTGTGCAGGTGTGTGTCTTTTGGAAGTGGAACATTATTATGTCAATTATTACAATTTCTTATTTGACTGTAGTGTTACAACCCAATAGCTCAAACCAAGGACCTTCTCCACCTTTAAGAAAATAACATTGTTATAAAACCCCTCCAAAACAACGTGAGGATTGGGACATTTGCAAGTAGGGACAGGGTGCTGTGTTTGTTGCTATGTTTGTGTTAACAAATGTTTCAGAGCTGTTTTTCTTTTATCTCTTTTCAGTGGTCAAATGTGAAAACCCGAGAGTTAAAAATGGGTACAAAATATCTGGACTTGGGTCTTCCTATACTTACAAGGACTCAGTCCAGTTTGTGTGTGATCCAGGCTATTACATGGTTGGAGAAGATATAATTTCCTGTGCAGAAGATAACACTTGGTCTCCTCCAATACCAACCTGTGAGAAAAGTAAGTCTTTCTGTAAAATTCCAACTTGTCTTGGGTGTTGAGAGTGTTGTGAGCCTTGTCTTAGCTAAAATTTCAAATCACAACACTGTAGGTGTAAATCAGAAGCTGAGGAAGTTGATGGGGAGCCATCTGTGGGTGACATTTTAGGTGTTTGAGGGGCTCTTAACTCCAAAGAGTTTTTGGCTGAGGGTGAATTGAGTGACAGACGTGGTAGAACTTGTGACATGGACATGCTGTGATTGATTGTGGTGTTTGTTCTGGTGATTTTGAGGGTAAATAGAGGAGAAAATATGTGTTTCTAAATTCTGATAGAAAGAACTAGGAGTGTGCACAATAAAGAAACCTGTAGGATCCTGGAGTAATCCAAATCTCTGTGTTTGATGTAGCTCTTCATCTCTTACTTTCCAGGCATCTCGTGGGTGTTTAACACATTGTTAGATTTTTGACCAGGCAAATTCCTAAGTCAGGACTATTTTGCAGGGCTGGGAACATGGCAGAGGTGTTTCTGAACCTTTCTCCTCCCTCTTTGTGCTAGAGGGGAAGGGGACATGGTTGTACAGTACAGCAAGAGAATTTTTTACATGCATAGTTTAATAATGAGCTCACAAGAGCGAGAAGTGCTTTGGAGAGCGTGTTTGAGTGTTCTGTAATGAATGAGTCTGATAAGGCACCTGGAAATGATTCTAGAGCTTACAAAACTAATCAACCAATATGGGTTTCAGAGCTACCACATCATAAGATTGCATTACCTTAATGAATACCTACAGTGATGTTTCTTTAAGTCCTCTAAAGGAAATATTTATACTTAAAATTTCGGTCAAGTTAAACTCCTCAGATATGCAGAGCTGTTTTTCTCACACAAAGGCAAGGTGTATTTGTGGAGTGAGTTAATGAGTTATGAAATATTTCAGGTTTATTATCACTAAGCTTGTTTTTAAATTCATGTGTTAATTCCTGCAGATGTGTGTGGTGCTCCAGAGGTCACAAACGGAGCTGTGGTTCCGCTGAAATCTGTCTATAATGCAGGAGAGTCTGTTAAGATAAAGTGCAATGCTCGCTGCTCTTTTCCTGATGGCACTAAAGAGGTGACAGTGACTTGTCAGGGACAGAAGACATGGAGTTATTTTCCAAAATGTAGATGTGAGTAAAACTCGTATTTGGTAAAATCAGTGACAACTTTGAAATATCTGCTGCAGTAATATGGCTTTTCTTTGTTTCCCTGTTTTCTTTCCAGGTGGGCCTGAAAGCCCTGGTTCCACTCCAGGTACAAGCCCTGGTTCCACTCCAGGCATAAGTCCTGGTTCTATTCCAGGCATAAGTTCTGGTTCCACTCCAGTCATAAATTTTGGTAGAGTAGTTGTGGGCCAAAAGCCTTCCTATGTTGTGGGGGATTGTATTACCATTGAGTGCTACGCAGGGTACACGTTACAAGGTGAAGCTGAAATTCGGTATATGGGAGGAAACCAGTGGTCTCCTGGAGTGCCAACCTGCCAGCTGAGTAAGTATGAACTGCAAGGACTTCCACTGAAAGCACCTGTGAGAGGAGCTTTGCTGCTTAAGAATGTCCTCTTATATTCGGGAGAAATAATTGAATGCGACCTCCTCCTTTATTTTGGCATGAAAAAAAATAGAGCTTGCTAAAATCAGTTGAAAACAGAAATATTTTAAGTTAAGTAGATGTTGTGATGTAAACTGACCTGCTTCAAAGATTGTGTTGACAAGCATGCTTGATCTGCTTGGAGTAGCTTTGTGAATGTTTTTATAACAATGTTTGAGTAAGAAGCACACGTGTTCCTCTTGTGATACTGATTCCCTCTGTTTTTAGGTGGATATGTCATAGCCTGCATCTGTGGTAAGTATTTTCTGAAACCTGAACAAGAGACAATGTTGATTGTATTTTTTTTATGTGGAAATTTTATTTTTGATCTCAGTCACCTGTGACTGCAGTAGAATGATTTTGGAGTTTTGGTTAAGGCTGGATAATTCAAGAAAAGTTAAGATTGTTAAGCAATTACAGTTTAATTTAGTGTAAATGTGTATTTTTTCATGTTTGTGAGGTCAGATTTGCTTGATCTCTTTGATAAACTTCAGAGCTTGTGTTTACTGGAAGTGTTGAGTAAATTACTCTGCCACTGAACAGAAGTGTTTAGTCCATCTTCTGTCATTGAGTTTGTTACCCAGTTTTGTATAAACTTGTAAGAAGTTTTGTTAGGGGGTTGTCATCATTCCTGATTTGTCTTTTCCTGTTTTAATGTTACTGAACTGGTGGGGTTTTGCCATCTTGGTGGTCATTGTTCTTGAGCTGATTTAAGAATCTTGAGTAAAGCATCAAATACTTCATTTACATATCTTATTTAATAAATGAGTTGGGCTGGGGATTTATTTGAGGGGGTGGGGATGCTGTAAACCTTTGAATGAAAACAATGCTATTTCTGCAAAACTTTTTGATGCTTTTGTTGTGAGCTAGAGATGATCTTTATCACTCTAAAGCTTTTTTTTTGTTATTATTTTTTTTTTAATTCTTCCTGAAGTGCTTGTGGTGATCGTGGTGCTCCTGGCAGCCTTCTGGGCCTATAAGAAATTCTTTTCACAGAATGGGTGAGTAAGCTTCCTTTTTTATTACTGTTATTATTGCACATTTCCAGATGACTGAGCAAAAGCTGTGCTGACATGTGTGAGTTTCTTGAGCTTTATCTGCCCTTTCCTGTTCAAATGCCTGATTTGTGTGTGAGCTTCTCACAGCAGCTGATGGAAGCTAAAGCCTAACAATATATTTGACTTTTGTTTTTGTATCTGTTGTTCAGCTAAGCTGCTAATTAACACTTGCACTGATTTCAGGGATGGAAAAACCTTGTTCTTAAGCTTGTGTTTGGCATATTTACACCTGCCAAGGGAAGTACTTTTGTTATCTGCTAAAAACATGTCAAGTTTACCTTTTAAAACCAGGGCTAGTGTTGGTTGTGTGGGCTTGTGCTACTGGAAGGTTTTCAGGGGGTTTTTTTCTCCTGCAGCAGTAATGTTGGTGTCCCTGTGTTAAAGACTTGCAAAATGAACTGTAAATGTTAGATTCATACATAAGTAAGTGTTCTTTTGATGAGACATAAAGGGTATTTTGAACTTTTATCTTCAAAACAGCTGGGTTTTATGTGTGCTTTTTCATGGAGGGGTGGCAGGAGATTTAAATGCCTCTTTGTGCATTACTTCTTGCTGTAATGCCTGATTTTTGTCTTCTTGAAAGAAGCCTGTTTTGTTGGAGAAATAATTTGTAACATGGGAAACACTGAAAATTCAAGCAAGTTAGGTGGTGCACATGGATTGTTAGGATAAGCATCTCATAAAAACTGGGTGATCTTTTAACAAAATCTCTTGGAATTTACCTGGAGCACATGAAACCAAGACAGGGATGCTTTAAATAAAGTAAATCAGAGGAAATATTCCCGTGGTTCATATTTGTAGTGAAGTACACCCAGAGGACTTGGGAGAACCCTGAAGGCAGTTGATGTGCAGTGAAGTTTTAGCCTTAGTACCTCCTACATGGGCAGCACAGCATCGTTCCAGGGGCCAGGGTGACAGAGTGCCCGTGTGCTGCTGAGGAATTTAAGGCTTTTGAGCCATTCCTTCTCATCCATGACTTGGATATCCTGCAGTCTGGGCCAAAGAAGGGTCCATGGGAGCTCAGAGCATTAGGGCAGCACTTTCTGTCTTCATCCGTGGAGAGACTTCTCAGGGTGTAGAGAGCAGGAGGGATCTAAAGCAACGTCATAAAAAATTAAAGAATGTTATATTTCTGAATATTTTGCAGCAGTTTTAAAGCCTTACTGTGCTTAGTGCTTTCCTTTATCCTTCTCTCTGTGAACATCTGACTGTTAAACCTCTTCCTTGTCTGGAAACCCTGATCTAATCTCCTTTTATTAAGGCCTCTGTCTCCCTGTTTAGTTTTCTGAGTTCCTGACGTAGCTGAGCCTTTGTGAACTGTTGTGCTTCCCCCCCCTACTTGCTGGTTCGTGGTCTTCAAATGGCAGCAAATCTTTCCTTGCCCTCTCTCATATGTGTTTAATCTGCCAGTTTTATGGGACATTCAATTAGAATTGAAATTTTTCCCCTTCTACTGTTCAGCTCGTACACAGTTGATGAGAGTTGCAAGGAAACATGTATTTTAAAAACTAAGGCCCCAGCTGAGATGGAAGACACTGAATACATGAATTAATTGAATCTTGAAAAGGTATACACTTTCCACTTCATTTGGACTTTTGCAGTGAAGCTTAAGTATCTTTTTATTGGGGTTTACTTGGAATTTAAGAAGTGTGGAACCTTGGCTTCCTATAGGAAAGAATATTATAACCTTTCATTCATTTTGGGAGAATAGGGTATAATACATAAAGAATTATCATTCAGTAGTGTAAACAGTAGCTTCCAGTGATTGCATATCACATTTCTTAGTGTTGAGTTGTCTTTGAAGAATGAATAACACAGTAGAATGTTTGCACCCATTTCAATAATGTGAAGTGGATTCCAGTGCTGTTACTTTTCTTAGCTAATAGTATAATTCCCTATGTTTAAAAGACAGTTGAAGCTGGAAGCCACCCTTGGACACTAAAATTCTAAAGGATTTAAAATTTACATCCCTTCAGAGCAAACCAGATCCCAGGTCTCTCAGAATTATTGATTCACCTGCATTTTCTCTTTCTTGGGAGTAAAATATAAATAAATGAAGGTTCTAACAAGATCTTCTTTTTAATTTCTTTGATTTCGTTCTCAGAGTTCTGTAGCCCTAAAAAGGATCAAAATATAGTTCCTTATTTGCAACTAATTTCTTCTGGTTTTTAACCTAGTGCTTAGTCAGGTAGTGAGTGATGATGGTTGGGATTGCACTTGGGGTGGGGTCAAATGTGCCCTTTCAAAATCTGGCTCTTCAAACCTTGTTCCAACAGAACAGATTTAAGACAGAACAGCTTAGTTTGACTAATATTTGTCAATATTTTGTCATGACAACTTAAGAGAGTTGGCACTTCAAATACTTTTTTAAACCATTATCTTCTTTTGTGTCCCTTTTCTCCATTGCACAAGTTCTTAGAAGGTGATGGGTGGTTGTGTCTCTTGCTCAAACTTAATGCCAAGGTCTGTTTTTTATTGACTTGTAAAGAACAGGTGATTTTTCAGTATTTTTGATAAGTTTTGAGATGGCATATATAAAGACTAAGCTTGGAGTTACTCCCAAAATAATGTATGGATTAAAGAATATCATCTTTACCTCTGAAGAAAGATGTTTCTAATTAAGATAGGATTAGTTTTCTCAGTTAGTTGGGCTTATTTTTGGAGAGGATAAAAAGGAATCAAGAGATAGAGTTCTTCATTTGAATCTTACCTGTACTTGTGTTAATAATAAGAGAAATTATTTCACATACTGGTCTGGTATGTGAAAACACTGTTAATTCTGAATTTTTCTTATGTAGAACTCCTTAGAGACTTGGAATAATAGTACAGAGGTTTGGTGTGGGGTGGTTGTTTTTTTTGGTAAAGCAAAACAGGAGTTATTCAAGATCTTGAAACATATGTAAGAATGTTATTGTGAATTGTAATTCTTGTGTGTTTAAGTATTATAAATATGCTGTTGGCAGACCACAAAATCAAAATTCTCACGAACTAATAGTTTCTGCTTAGAAAATATGTACTAAATAACAAACTGAGTTGAAAATGAATGACAAGGGGTGCACCTGATGTGGTCTCCAGATCAGTGAGGAATCCTCTGACTGTTCTGTTGTTAGTTTTTGACAATGCTCAGGCATGGTCTGTTCATCACTTGAAATGATCTGTTTGGATCAAACACTTTTCTACTCCTTGGGTCGTTCTTAACACTTTAGCAGAGAATGAAGCAAAAATCTCTTCAGTCCAGCAGCTGCTTAGTAAGGAGAGGACAAATAATGACTTAGTTTCGTGACTTTACCTGTTGATTTAATGACAAACCTAAGGCTGTGCTTTCAGTGTAAAATGTAAAACCTATTTAAATGTAAAAATCTCTGATTTGACTTGTTTTTTTGTTTGTAGGAAACGTGACAGCACTCCATGTACTGCCGAATATAAGATGTGTAAAGCATGAATGGCCTTTTTGGGGGGGTGGGAGGGGATTTGCAGTGGAATATCCCTGCCAGAAATGGAAAACAGTTGCACTTGCATTGAGTAGAGGAGTATCTTGTGCTGTGTCTTGTCCTGCTGGTTAAATGTAGGAGGAGATGGTTAATGGGGTAAAAAGTGTGTCTGCAGTTGTATGGACAGATATTCTGTTTTTCCTCATGGCTGTAGCATCCAAGAGTGTCTGTCTGCAGGAGTCAGTGCTACCTCTTTGCCTTCAGAAGACTGTCCAGTATTCTCTGTTCTTTTATGGTTCTGCTCACCAAAACTGTGTCCTCCTGCTCCTCCCTTTTCTGTGGCTGAGCTGGCATAAATGTTGTCCCTTGTATTGTTATTGTTATTATTATTATTATTATTATTTTCCATGAGAGATCGGTGTCATTGAAGGCTGTGTCTTTTTGAAGCTATCATAGGTCAGATCTCATATGCTCTACCTCTTTGTTTGTCAGAGTTGATTTCTGTGTATCTAACTAATTAAAGTGTGCCTTTAAATCAGAGCTTTATAGCTTTTCCTTTGCTTTTAAGAAGGAAAAAAGCCATATATATTTCTAACTCTTTGATATAATCCTACAAAGGCCACAGTGGATTTATTATAGTAGAAAACTGGAGGTTTCTGTAGCAAAGACATTCCCTGCCTTTGAATTTGTTGTCATGTTCTAGAAGTTACCTAAATAAAGGTACCGCTGAGAAATCAGTGGTACTTGTCCTGAGCACAGTGTAAGTCCTTAGTGGGCTTGATTTTTATTGAGCCTTGATGTCAGTTCTGGAGATACTTTGCTACTTTTCAGGATAGAAAGGATGCTGTGTGGATCCACCTTCCTTGCTTTTTCCCTTGAAATCATGCATTCCACATTTCAAATCTCTGTATACAGTGATGTTAATCAAGCTCTGTAATGAAGGATTTATCATCATATACCTGTTCAGAAACAGAAGCCTTTCCCTGTCAGACTCCCTTTTCATATTAAAGGAAAACCAAAGCAGTTCAGTGCTGGGAGTGCAGGACTGGATGTGCTGGCAGTGCTGGTAGATGAGGTCTCTCTTTAGCTCCTTAGCACAATTTTTTAGTCCAGACTGTGACTCCAGGAGTTGGCAAACACTCCAGTGTTCGCCATGGGTCGAGACTCATTGCTACTTCTAATTCCTTATCAAAACCAAAAGCCTAATTAGGAACAGGTTTGAGCTTCATGAATCTCACTGTCAACCTACAGGCAGCTTCTAAGAACCAATTCTCCCAGAAAAAAACCCAAATTGCCTCACTTCCCATGCCTGGGGCAGCATTGAAACCGTTCTGGCTTGTCTCTGGTGGCTTGGCACTGCTCCACTGTCATCAACTGATTGTTGGAGCAACAGAGAACTGTTTGGGGCTTTTTAGGGCTTTTTGGGACAATCCCAGCGGTTGCATTGTTAGAGCTCATAATAGGCTGTGGTTTTTACAAAGGGCTTTTGGCTCCACAGGATGACTTGCTGTTCACGGGCTGGTTGACATCTTAGTTTGAGAATTGTTTGTAAACACTGGGTGGTGTGACTGGGGGGTTGAGTGTGGGGGGTCACAAGCTCAGCTCGCTTCGTGTGGCATCTGCAAACGTGCTAAAAACGGGCTGAAAATGCACTTAAAGCTGAGCTGGAATCACTGTAAAAATTAGCCTTATTTTGACACTTCTTTCCGGATGTAAAGACTTAGTAATGCCTTGTAATATTGCAAATAAAAATGTTAAATTATTTAGCAGTAAGTGTTTGTCTTTCATTCCTCATGTGCTGAGCAGCTCTTTTCCCGTTATTATTAAGATGATTTTTCCTGTAACCAACTTTTATTAGATGGGAACTGTTGAGATTGAAATTTGCAGTTTGTGCACAGAACTACTCAATGGTAGTGTAGAGAATGTGATTTAATTTACTGAGCAGCCTTTTGGGATTTTCTTTTAGAATCGCAGAGAATTCCCCAGAACCTCCAAAACTTTACTGTGTTCACTCCTGAAAAACTTGGTAAAAGCTTGATGGAGAAGAGGCAGCTTATCCTGTGGTTGTTCTGATGGAACACTTGTGTCAGGAGCAAAGCCCAGTGAGTGTTTTGGCACTTTTGTCCAGTGTGTGACAGATGCAATCCTTAGGGAATATAGATTAGGTGGTTTTAAGTGACATTTTAAGTAGAATGTGATTATTAATTGCATGAGTTTCACACTTCAAATATACTTAATTTTCTTGGCAAAGCAATGTGTGGAGTCAGCTGCCTTGCAGAATGAAGCCTTTCAGAGGGTGAAATAGAAAAAATAACTAATATGCCATATTTTTTTTCCAATTTGTGGTTCTGATACTCAAAATGAGTTGGTGTGGACTGCAAATGGTGCCAGACTGCAGAATTTTACATTATGAATTTTTGGGATTTCAGTGAGCATTGGTGGGATAAGCAGCTGCTTGGCAAGTTTTCCAGTGGAAGGTGTCCCTGCCCATGGCAGAGGGTGGAATGAGATGAGCTTTAAGTCCCTTCAAACCTAAACCATTCTGTGATTCCATTCTGTGATCCTATGAGTTTGACTTAAACACTACAAATTATTTTACCCCAATTGTCATGAATTTTGTGCCATTCTTCCTCAAACTCAGTCCCACATGAATTATTTCATTTTTGACTCTGGAACTGATAATCAGAGTCCTGAACACACAAACTCTGTGCCGAGGGAAGAGGCTGCATGGAATAAAAATGTGGTGTTGCCATCTACTGGTAACAGTGGGAGTCACAAAACAGGTACAGGGTTACCTGGTTTAGTGTTAAATCATGTGAAGTGTCAGTGCTTGGTGGCTTAAAACCAGTGTAAATTAAACCCTGCCCGTGGCAGGAGGTTGGAACAAGGTGATTTTTAAGGTCCTTTTCAAGTCAAACCATTCTATGAATCTAAATACTCACTTCTCAGGGCGGTGAAAATGGAGCTGGGGACTGAAATGAAGAGACTTGCAGCACTTGGATATTGTCCAGCAGGGAAACAGGTGATCTGTCTACCTCAGACAGAGCCCAGTAACATAAAGCACAAGATTTTATTTAAGAGGAAAAAAAAAAATCTGCGTAAAGAACAGGTTAAGGCAAACAAATCGCACGTGGAATAGAAGTGGTTGGAAGGTTGGGTGGCTGTGCTGTCACACCTGGGCCCTGGCTTGCTGGAGGTGGAGAATCTTTAGTTAAATGTTTGAAGAGATGCTTTGCTCTCTTCTGGAAGCATCCCTCCTGACTTGAACGGGGTGCTGAGTGTCCTCCCGTTGTGCAGGATGCTCTTGGCCTGTGGGTGTAACTTCAGAGAACAGCAAACCACACGTGTTTGTGAGGCCAGGTCGGGCTTTGGATGGTGTTTATTTATGGCTTGGGGGGTGGGGGAATGAAGTTTTCCTTTAGTGTTGCTTTTCCCCCTACATCATAACCGATTTCAAATGGTGCTAGACAAAAACTGAGACTCTGAACACCAAGAGAAATCGGTCAGCCTGTGTAAGAGACGTTTTCCTGGCTCAGAGAAGGATCCTCTTGGAGATGACAGCTATGGATTCTTTACAGATGGCTATTCAGAGCTCTGATCAAAGGCTTCATCCACACAGCGATGGTCTTTTCTGGGTGTAATGACATGTTGGACAACAGGGAGGTCAAGCAAAGATAGTTCAGCTTTGTTCTGGTGGTTGGGATGAAGGGGTGGAGAAGTGAAACATCACTAGAAGTTACCAGCAACGTATTTAAAAATAATTCTGGCAGAAGGAGTGGGTTCTGTGTGTGACATGACCAGGATGCCGTGGCAGGGGTTGGAACAAGGTGATCTTTAAGGTCCCTTCCAACCCAAACCAGTCTGTGATTCTGTGGTTGCTGAAGGCACTTTTGTGTTTATATTATTGAGGGGAATTTCTGTGTGTGCAGAGCAAGTCTCTGGGAGCTGTGGAATGAGAATTCTATGGAGGTAGAGTCCCCAAGCACAGAGTGGAAATGCATTTGCTCTAAGGTAGTGAATTAAATGTTATTGCTAGAGATTGTATAATAAATGTACTCTGCCTGTCGAGATGCAAGAAGTACCACGTTGGTTTTCATGCAATTTCCAGATCACTCTACTCTGGACAACTTGAACTCATATCCATTGTTTATTAAGTAGAAGTACATTAGAAGGAGGCTGTTCTGTTGTGGCCCTGGCTTGGGAGGGTGTACAGGGGTTGTAGAAGTGTCTAGAAATCAGATGATGTTACAGAGTGGATGGCTGGCAAAAAAATAACCTTTGGAGAGAGGGCTGGTTTAAGGAGCAGAGGCTGTTGGTGAAGTGAGCAGCTGCTTGATCTCTTCCCACGCTGTAATTCTTGCTCCTAGAACACTGATTTCAAATGGTGCTAGATACAAAGTGGGAAAATCTAAGCCACCATGTGAAACCAGCTTCCAGAGGAAGACACATCTTGTGCATGGCTGCAGGCTGAGGGAGAAAATCCTTCATCTCCACCGTACCTAGAGAAAAATTCATTTATTTAATTTGATTAGACAGCAGGATGGTTAACTTGGGGTTAATTTCTTTATGGACACACATTTATTTGGTATCTTGTGAATGGCTGAGGCTGGAGGAGAAGTTAAAGGTGATGAAGAGACCCCCCAGCCTGGCAAGTGACTGTTGTTTCCTTTCCTAGCCAGGTGGAATGCAGTGAAATTCTTGCCAGCAATAGTAGTACAGGTTTCATTTCTTTGTAGTGATGGGGTGTGTGGGGGAAGTTTGTGTTGTTACAGAAACACTTTTTTCATGCCATTGCAGATGAAACCAGGCTATAAACCTCATTCTGTCCACTTTCTATCACTTACTGATCTCAGCATCATCAGAGAGGGCAAGGGCACATCAGATACTTTTTGTGACAAGGAAAGGAAATGGGACTGTCCTGATGGAACTTCCTCTGTCAGCTGTCTCATGTGGCCTCTGAGTTCTTTAAATAAGCCAGAGCTTGGCAGATTTTTCTGAGACAACTTTTAAATTCTGCAGGGACAGTGAAAATAAGTGGGATTGAAACTGCTTTGAGTGTGGGTCAGAACAAAAAAGGAGTGCTCGTAAATCTGACTGCAAATGGTTCAGTGAAAGTTGCTGAGGAAGGAGGAGGGTCTGCAAATGAGTGGCTGATGGTTCCTGGAGCTGGAATAGGTCTGAGCAGTGGTGTCCATGTCTCAGTGCAGAGGGAATGGATGGAGTGTCCCAAAGCCTGTGAACCACACACGTGCATAATTCAGGAGCTGCCAAACCCTGGTCACCACGTGTGACCTGTGCTCGTGCAGAAGCTGATGGAAAATGGAATCAAGCATGGCAGAACTGGAGTTGAGTGTTTCACTCATGGATGCCCTGAGGTTTTGGCAACACCTTGTATTAATTTTGTAACCACATCCAAAAAATCTGCTCCGGTGCCTCCATCCTAATGCACACTCACAGGCAGCAGAGGAAAGGCTCAGAGAAAGGAGATGTCCTTCCAAGAAAGAGGGGTGGAGGAAGGGGAAAGAGCTGTACTAGATTACTGTGTCTGGATATTTGCTGTAGTTTCTAAATCCATTATCTGGGGCAGCAGGGTGAAAGACAAGTGGAAAGCAGGTTCCCTCCCCAGTGTCTGTCGTGCTGGCACAGTTATTTATGAGGCACCCTCTATTATCAGGTGAGATTTACTCCTGAAAAGCTGGACCAAGAGTTGCTGCTGCTGAAAGGTTGCAGCACAGATCACACAATCACTGCAGCATCTTTGAGAAACAGGTTCAAAGTGAGGTTTGCTTTGGTTTTTATCCTGTCTCAGTAGTAAGCGTTAAAAAGAAATCTTTACCAGGGTTTTCAAAAATAGTTGGAGGAAATGTCACTTAGTTCTGTGCTGCTGAAAACAGGAGCTTCTGTCAAATTATGAGACTTACAGGGACTGAACCTATGCCCACCTTCCCCTCTCCAAAGGAGACTAACCTTTCCAGAAATACCATGCAGCAGTTAAAGACCAATAACTCATTTATTATTTACAGTTTTGATAAAACCAGGTTTCAGTTCAGCATAATTAAGATGCTGCTGGCCTTCCTCCAGGCTACCTGAAGTTTCTCCTGTTGCCTTAACGAGCTCCCCAGAAGGTGTCAGCCCATTTTGCCAAGGTGCAGGTACACATTTTGGAAAGGGTACATCTGTGTGTGTTCTCCTTCCAAAGCTAACAGCATGTTTGGGCAGGCAGCAGGCAGAGAGGAGGAGAAAAAGAGCAGTTCAGGATGCTGTGATACACAGCACCTGACTGGGAATATGTGCATGTGCAGGGAAATGGAATCACAGGATGCTTTGCTTGGAAGGGACTTTAAAGCTCATCTCGTTCCACCCCCTGCCATGGGCAGGGACACCTTCCACTAACCCAGGTTGCTCCAAGCCCTGTCCAACCTGGCCTTGGACACTTCCAGGGATGGGGCAGCCACAGCTTCTCTGGGCAACCTGTGCCAGGGTCTCCCCACCCTCCCAGGGAAGAAAATAAACCAGGACTTGTCTCAGACATTTGCTGGGTGTGTTGTACTTATGGACACACGTGTGGAGACAAGCCAGTACTGTCAGTTGACTTTATCAGAGTGGTCTGGGGTTTTCAATAAATAATAGTAGGAAAAGTACAATACTATGATTCTGGGTTTTCCCTCCTTTTCAGATGTTTTGGTAGCAGGGCTGTTCTTTCAGAGGAATATCTCAAAGCCTTTCATGGATTTCACACTGTTTTACACATCTATGAGACACAAAGGCAGAAAGGGAATCCCTGCCTTCCCTGTGAAAGGGAACTTCTTTTCTAGCCTAAGACCTTTAGTCTGCAGGAACAAGGCAAGCCTGGATGCCACTGACTTGATTTTTCACCTTTTAGATAAAGGCATTTCTGGTCTTTACAGTGAGCAAACCCAATCTCTGCATGACCCTGTGTGCACCATAAATTTTTTCCTCCCTTTTTCAAATCACGGGGTGAAACTTGTGGTTCATCAGACTCTGGTCTCCCCTGGAGAGAAATATTCCTGTTTCACATGGAGAAAGTCTGAGCTTGATGCATCATCCTCCCAGTGAAGGAATGAGTCAGCCCAAGGCCAGGTGCAGGACAGAGGGGTGTGACAGTACAAGTGGTGACCTGTAAGGGGAATTGAAATGAGTGAACTTCTAAGGTTTCAAAAAAGCTTCCTGAGCCCGGGGGAGCGTGTAACTGCATCTGTTTGTTGTGCAGGTCTGGTACTGTGTTGCTGCTGCGTGGGTCAGGTATGGACAGATGTGCCTGAACTTGCAGTCTGAGCCAGGCCTAAGTGTGTAACTCCCTGTGGGTCCCCAGCACTGAGCTGGGCTCAGGAAAGGCAGTGATGCTCCTGACTAGAAATTCCTCTGTTATGGGCAGCAAAAACATGTACTTCTGTTGTGAGTTTAAAGCATAATGGAGATTATTTTTCCTTAATTAGGACCACAGTAAAAGCTCTGCATTACAGTCATGAGTTGAACATAGCCTATTCCTTTAGTCCTACTATTGCAGCCTTACAACTGTAGTGTAAATAGATTTAAAAGCCAGGCACTTTGGGTCTGCAAACCCCTCCAAAACCCCAGGGCAAGCTGAACACTGGACTGGGACATGCTGGGGGTAAAAGCCTGTGGAGCCTTGTGTCCCATTTAACTCTGAGCAATGGGACAGTCGGGCCTGCTTGACATTTGAGTCACTTAATTTCAATTCCTATTGAAGGGAATCTGTCAGAGCACTCACCAGCATCTGTCTGTGCTGAACTGTCAGAAAGCTGCCTACCCTTCTGATCCATCTTTTTGAAACGGTTCATGGGTTTGGGGTGAGGATTTTTCTTTGCTTGTTGGCTTTTCCAGATAATTTCAGGCAGGTCAGGTGGTGAGGAGTGTCTGTGATGGCTGAAATTTGGATGTGATGAGGTCTGAGAGGTGCAGCTTAGCCCTGAAGGCCCACTGTGAGGTTAACTCTTGCTGCTCTGACTGAGGTGAGGGAGCTCATTCCCAGCATGGGTTTGGTGCCAGCCAAGATTTTCCAATGCTGAGCCACGTCTGGCAGTTGGCATTGACAGACAGGAATTAGGGGGTTGGATACAGCAAACCTCAGTTTAGGGTGAGATAATTGAACACACTGACCCAGGCACTCTGGGTGATGTGATGGACCACACCAGCCTTCATTTTATGGTTCTACCCTGCTGATCCACACTTTCTGTGGTGCTTGGGTCTAAAAAGGAGGCTAAAAAACAGTGCAAGAGACCTTCAATTTTTAGATTACAGATCTTTTGGAAGAACTTGGAGATGGCTCATAGCAGAGCAACATCACTAAAATAATGAGGATTTATTCACAAGACCTGTTGTGTTTTTAAATCCCAGACCTTTGGTTCAGACTCTTAGCTATACATAATATTTATTTGCTATTGCTTGTCCCAGAGCTGTTCTGAACTGGAGGGAGCAATTTTAGCATGGTGATCATTCTGGGTGTGCTTAGATATTAGTGCTGCAGTTCCTAATCTCGTGGTTCCCCTCTGCTCATCTGAAATGGCTTTGACTTTTCTGGAGTCATAGTTTTGCTCCACCTTTCCTAGGGAAACCCACAGGCTGTTTGGAGGGCACAGGAGCTGCTGAACCTCTGGATCCTGGGTAGGATTTCAGATTTCACAAGGAACAATGAGGTAAAACCAGGCAAACTCACACAGGGGAAGAAAAGCATTGCCCTTACATGGCTGAGGTCAGGGAAGAGCAGTTGGGAAGTACAGCCATGAAAACTCATCAAATTTAGCCTTACACAGCTTGACTGAGCAGCACATTGCAAAACTAACTACACTCAAAGAAATGATCCTCCTAAGGAGCTGAAACCAGAAAAGCCATTTTCTATTCCAAACTTCTGTACCTAAGCATCACCTCAGAATATAAAGTATTGATTGCAGGGCTTGAGAGCAGTCACGGGGAGATGATTGCTGTGATTTGTATAGTCAGTTCAGGAACATGGTGTTCCCCTGAGGCCACCATTCCAGCTCCTTTAGGTAATGTCAAGGGAAGTCATATTTTTCTTTTGTGTCGTTCAAGAAACAAAAGAATGTCCTATGCCCAGTGAGGAGCATAAGGAGACAAATACTGCCAGATGTTCACTGAAGTATAACCTGCCTTTAAACCAGGTATTTGAAGACAAGCCTTTAGTTTAACACTATCTGCAGTAAAAGGACCTGGCAAAACATCCAGAGAAAAGCATTGACCAGACCCCTAACTGACTCCCCTGAGCTGCTGGTTTGTACCTCTTCCCAGGATTTCCAGCACTCTGTCACTGAAATATCACTGTTATGTTTGAGAATATTTAAGAAACATTTGAGCTCTACAGCCAAATCCAAACCCTGTGGCTGCTGCTGGACTTCTGTGCACCACCACCATGAGTGTTTGTGTGGGGAGCTGAAGAGATGTGCTCAACTCAGAAATAGCTCTATTCCTTGGAAAGCTGGAGGGCTGAATCACACTGTGTTGGCTCAGTTTTTAGCAGACAAGCCATCACATATGCCTCCCTGTAGGCGCAGAGTCGTCACTGGCATCAGGATTAGCAGCCAGGTTTTTACCTTTGGAAACCAGGGAATAATGATGCAGAAGGCTAAAGTTGATTGTAAGGAGGCTGCCCAGGGCTGGGGGCTTGGGGAGGTGGGTTGACAACACTGGGAGCAGGAAGGGTCTGGTCATGTCCCTGCTTGGCCTGCTCTGGTCCCTCTGTTCAAAAGGAGCCAGCTAACGTGCCCCCAAATTGAACTTTGGGGACTGAATAAGTTATTTTGCTCAGAGGCATTAACCACTCCACTGCTGCCTGTGAAGCTGAGACAAGTAGAGCCAGCCCTGAGCATATCCACAGCTGATGTTGTCCTGAGTCCACTGAAAATACGAGTGACAAACAGTGGAGAAATAGGAACACTGGAGAAAAATGTGGAAAGCTGGGAGGGGACAAGACAGCTCCTGAGCTGAGACACCTGAACCTGAAAGCACCAGGGAGACACCACTGGCTTGACAGACACTGGGGAACTTAAGAGAACCTGCAGAGTCCACCTGCTAACGAGCACAGAAATGCAAATATACACAGACACTTTTTTTTTTCTGGAACAGAATGTATCTCCTTAAACACGTGCCACTGCTGATTCCCAGCAGTCCAGAGGAAGTCTTGGGGGAAAAGGGGATGAGGGAACTAGTGCAAAGTTTTTGAAGTCTTGGAGGAAAAGCGGATGAGGGAACTAATGCAAAGTTTCTGCAGTTAGCACAAGAAGCAAATTACAGATATGGATTTTAAAATGCTTCAGAGACACGGGATTTTTTTTGAGCTACAGTTTTGGACTCAGTAGTCCACTACTGCAGTAATGCTAATTATCAAGCCTCCCCTTCAAGTTCAGGATTCAAGCGCTGCCACAGATGCAAGAAAAGTGGATTGGGAGTTCCTGAACCAACTGGTTGCTGACCATGAGTCAGGGGAATGACCTTGCAGCAGGCAGCTCGCCGTGCCGCTCTCGGAGCCGTGCCAGTATAAACGGCGCTGGCATCTCTGAGTGCTGGTGGAACCATTTTGTGAGATTGAGATTCCAACTTGGCCTTTCCTGCTGCTGCCTTTGCACTGAAACGTTTGGGTGGGTGAGAATGGGCCAGAGTGGTCCCTTCTCATTTTTGTGACGAGGGCATCTTCACAACCTGGGCTTGGGACCATCTGTATCTATAGGCAGATGTATAGAGGATATGGACAACTATCTCTTGCCTACGTACTTGTCCATTAACATCAGCATTACAGATATTTAGCAAATTAAATCTTACCCTCCCCCACAGCCACACCCATATTAAACTGTAAGAAAACCCCGTGATTAAGTTTTAAAAAACATACACGGCACCACTGAATTTTCTGGATGTGATTTGTGAGAGGAGCGAGGGTAGAATACTTGGCATTTGGTCATTTTAATTAATCTTCCCAAATAAGAAAAACATTTGCTTGTAGACTTTAAGCTTCTCACAGCATCAGGAAAGCTCCTGACACCGAGCCCAACGCTGTATTTGTATAACATGGAAATGAACAGCAGCAGCAGCAGAGCTGCAGGCTCCGAGTCTACTCTGCGAGCTACAAAATGGCCAGGGGTGCTGTTGTGTTCATCCGAATTCCTTCGCCATTTGGGGCTGTGAAATAGGTGGATCCAATACCCCTGACCCTTCAGGTATGGTTTGAACCCGTAACAGCGATACTAAATTAATGTTTCTAACCATATTCAAGCTTGTGCCCTCATCAGCCCGACTCCCTGAAGCACAGGCAGGAACCAACAGCAAAATTCGTCTGCGTCACAGATGTAACATGACCATCGGCAAAACAAGTGCAAGGGGGAGATCGTGGCTGTCTCGTCACTCACAGAGCCTTCCTCCTCTAGAAAAGAATAGGATGGTGATGCTTTTAGGTTTATATCGTCAGCATTTGCAATCCTGAACTTCCTCGCCCGAATTTTGCGGCCCTTGGAAGGGTCAGAGCGCCCGAGAAAATCGCGTGTGTTTTGTCGGCGAGGGCCGGCGCGTTAACGAACGCTGCGTCAGTGCTGCACCAGGGCCGAGGCACGGAGCAAACCCCACTGCCCAGAGCAAGGAAAGCCAGGCTGGGAAAAATGAATCAGCTTACACAATGGCACACGCACAAGTGTCAGAGGGAGGAAGAAATCACAGCTTTCCCAAGTCCTTTTGAGGCAATATGCAGAAAATGCTTATGGAACGGTTAAGCCACGTACAGCTCGCAGTGACAGTGCCACCCCTGTGCACACAGTCGCTGCTGTCCTACAGAAATATGCCATGTCCCCTTCTTAGCCTTGTTTCTTGCCAGTCCCACAGATTTACCTGCTGACAGTAACCTCAATTCCTGAGTAATGAGATTTACAGCTGAAGTTTAACATTGAAATAACTCCTCGTTTATCTGTGTCTCCTTACCCTCCCTGTGTTCAGTCTCAGTTAAACTAATTGTGGCAAAAAGATGGTGGCAAAGGGAATTAAATCAGATACATCCCTGCACTGAACACTGAAGCAGCTGCCAGTGGCACCTCCTTTAAAGCACTGAGAAATGTCATGAAGCAGCACTAGCTTTACAAATTACGGGGTCCTCCACCCCACAACTGTGACGGGAAAACCACAAAGAGTTGTCCATGCAACCGACACTCAGGAAAAGAGACTCAACCCACCCGTCTTCCACGCAACCAAGCAATCGGGGCTTAGTCCAGCTCCCGGCTGTACAGAATTCCCTCCACAGCTGCCTCGGACTGTTCCTGCATGTGTGTGTATTTATGCCTGTCTGTCTCGCTGCAGGGACCACCGTCGTCGCTGCTATTCCTGTTGTTCCCCTGCTCTGCGGATCTGGCGCTGCAGGAGGCAAGGATGCTCCAAGGGAGCCAGCTACAGCCAGCGAAGGCTCAGTGAGTCAGGAGGGGTTGTGACGACTGCAGCAAGAGTCTGAAATTCCCTATGGAATCTGGCAGAAGAGGAGGGGAAGGAAGAAAGGTGGTGATGGGAAAGAGGGGAAGAAAAGTGGGGAGTGGCACGTACTGCCTGTCCTGTTCTTCCCTCCCCGTTCCTACCGCCGCAGTGCCGTTGGAAATGGCGTCCTCCCCTCCGCGGAACTGCGCAAACGGGCGGAATCCACGAGAAAACCGCAGCGCCTGCGGCCTGCGCCACCAAACCCCCAAAACTCGGTCGGGGCGAGGGTATGGTGCAAGTAGAGCCCTTCTCTCCTTCCCTCAGAGCACCGTGCAGGGGACAGGCTACAGCTGAAGTGATGGAGACGGCGGACGCGCTGTGTCTGAGCCGGTTCTGAGCCCAGCGGTTGTTGCTAAACAACCAGCCCTGACGCTTGAGATGTCAACGAGTGAGTAATATAGATTAAACGCTTATGCTATCACATCCTTAAACTTGTTTAAGCCTCGGGATGATGAAAAGCTGTGGAATAATGGTCCCTGCCATATGAGAAAGCAAAGTTACCACTCCACTGCATAATCGGGAGACTTCCTCGGCCAGAAGGACCAAGCTCAAGGCTGGTTGTGTCCTCAGCACTTCCAGGCAGAGCTGCCATCTTCATTGCTGGTCACTTTAAGAAGAGAGGTGAAAAAATAGTGTTGTAAATGGTTAAGAGGAAAAATGTTCTCCCCTTTATTTCCTCATCCTCTCTCTGGAGCTGCTCTCTGCCCTCAGTCTCCCGTTCATCCTTACCCAGTCCTTCCCAGTCCTTGGGTCCTTGATTTCTAACGCTGTCATTTCCTTTGCAAACCTTTACAGACCCATCACTGAGGGCAGTCCTCGGCTCTCCCTGATGTTACCGAGCCTGTGGCAAACTCACCCTTGTGCAAACGAAAGCCGAGTTTGGGCAAGAGTCATTTTCGCTTCTTTAACTGTTCCCACGACATAATTTCCAGGTGCAATTCCTGCCCCAAGCCATTACAGTCCTGCTAACGCTCAACCACCGTATAAGGGAGAAGAAGGCAAGGAGAAAAGCCCTGAAGCCCAGCGCTTTCCCCTCCGCCGTGGGCTGCAGCTCTGACACGTCATCGTCGCGGCCGGACGGCGGAACGACACCTCAGGGAGCACCCCTGGATGTGAGGGCTGGCACCCACCGCCCCGAGGAGTCACCGGCTCCTGTCTGCCTGTGCCCGAGGGACACCTGGAATCCCGGGATATGAGGTGGGCAGCGAGCGGGCAGTGAGCAGCGGGCAGGGAGTGGTGGGCAGGGAGAAGGGAGTGAGCGGCAGGCAGGGAGCAGGCAGGGAGCAGAGAGCAGGCAGTGGTGGGCAGTGGGCAGGGAGTGCGTAGTGGGCAGAGAGCAGCAGACAGGCAGCAGGCAGCGGTAGGCAGAGGGCAGTGAGTAGGGGGTAAGCAGGGAGCAGCAGGCAGGGAACAGGCAAAGTGGACAGTAAGCAGGGAGCAGACAGTGGGCAGGGAGCAAGCAGGAGCAGGCAGTGGTGGGCAGGGAGCAGGCAGAGTGGGCAGCGGGCAGGGGACAGGCAGTGGGCAGGGAGCAGGCAGGGCACGGGCAGCTGCCGGTACTTTGAAGCAAGTGAAATCAGCGTCGGGGTTTGACACCCAGCCCTCGGCCAATCCGGGAGGGCTTTTCACCTGCCATCACCTCCTCCGCCAATGGCGCGGCGGCTCCGGGCCCAGAGCCCTCCCCGGCCAATGGGGAGCCGGCTCCGGCACTTAGTTAATGATGCAGCAGTACAGGGAAGACTATCACATGTGAGCTGGCCGCCTGCCAGCATGGAGACACCGAGAGAGCAAGGTAAACAACTTTCCAACGCCAAAATGATGACATTTAATCCCTAAATGCTCGCTTCCCGTCTCGACTCATCTTTAACCCCTTTCAGCTGGTGTGGAAGCGTCTGGAAGGCACCGTCTACCTGTCCCCCCCCAGTGCTTTTAAAAACTGGACGACATGCCCTGCAATGATCACTGCGTCACCGTTTGCCACTTTCCGAACTACGCAGTGACAAACCTCCGAGCTCGGAATCGCAGGGCGCCCGTTAACCCCTCCACCAAACCCTCGCCAGCATGCCAGCCCTCAGGGAGACGGGGGAGAATAAAAAGCCCAAACAAACCAGGCAAACAGCAGTCTTTGCAAAGTTGTCATCTCTCCCCCACGACTACTACCCTCCTCTGCAGTACAGCAATGCCGGCAGGAGTGACATTAGTGCAACCTGTGCCATCGTTCCATTGAGAAAACAGCTCTGACGCAGAACAGAGCAACCATACCCAGCCAAAATAATAACACAGGCACTTCGGGACCCGAACTTAGGGACGCCGGGGGAGAGGGACGCCCTGCAAACAGATAAAATCCGTGGCTGCAGCTCCAGCCCCATCCTGATCAAAGGGTACGTACGTGAGAGAGGCGAACCGGACCGAAGAGCTGTGCCCGTGCACCATCTGCGCAGTCCTCAGCCCTCCGCTCGCTGTGGAGCGCCGCAGAAGAGAAGGTTCCAGAAATTTCCTTTCCGTTAACCCTTTCGGTGTCTGCCCACTCTCCCTCCCCGCGGGATTAAGCGCGCCGGGTCTCCAGCATCGTCAATGGGCGAAGCCTCCTACGCCAACCGAGCCCGAGTACGACGTCTAAATGGCAGTGGATGGTGGCAGGAGCCCAGCCCGAGGTGTTGGTGATACTTCTCTTTCTGGAGCCCTCTCTGCCTCTCTTGCTGCCTCTCTCCCCTCTTGCTGCAGCAGGGCTGTTGCTGGTAGACCTATCGACGGAGCTTGCTCTCTCACTCTCTCGCTGAGCTCTGTGACGCAGCTCTAAATTCTCCAGCCTGCTCCCTGTGTTATAAGAGCGGAACTGCAGCTTTCCAGGGAGCCCGTGCCAGCGGTGCCAGGGCCAGGCAGACCGGAGGGAGCGTCGCTCCTGGACTCTGCACCTTTTTTTGGCAATTATTCTGTTGCTCACCTCTGTTTCTGTGCTGCCTCCACGGCTCTCAGCCTCGCATCTCCTTCTCTGCTTCTGAGTCATACTTACCAGGTTAACTCTTTTAGGATTGGTAGTCAGCAATACAAATCTCGAGCGAGAGCAGCTGAAACCACAGCCAACTTTGTGGTGGTTTCTGCTTTAAAAAACCAAAGCAAATCTTCTTGGCTCTAAAAAACAAAAACACACACACACACACGCACGCACACACACGTTCCAGTAGAGAGTTAGTGCTTTTTGATTAACTGTTTCGGTGACAGGAGCCATTACTTGACTTCCTAAAATAAAATATTTTAGGCCTACGTCCTGCAAACCCTCAGCAGGCAGATACCCCGAAGCACAAGGCAGCTTAAAAGGAACTGCTGCTGTGAGTAAACACAGGTCTTCTGGGCAGGAGGCTACTGCTGGCCCCACAAGACCCTGCTCTGCTGGCCACAAGGCATTGATCTGAATGTGGTTCAGCTGCTGGGCAGATGCGTGGTGTGAGATAAGGTACTGAAAGTGCCATAACGCTATAGGATCTTCTTAATCTGAGCGGCATTAATAAGTGTTATCACACACACAGATTCAAAACGCTCGGCGTAGGCAGGGGAACTAATAACTGCGTTCCTGGAGTCACCAGAATCCAATAATCCCCGACAAAGACAGTCCACAGGCAGCTCTGTATTTCAGCACAGCAGGCGTCGCCAGGCAAGAAACATCTTGCAGCTGAGCACTCTCTCCTTGCCTCTGCCCCCCAAATCCCTCACATTAACTCCGGTGCCTCCGGTCGGGCTCAGCGCCAGGCAGGGCGGGCAGAGCTCTCCCGGTTTGTAGCCTCAAAACTGGAAAAGTGTGGAGGAGGATCCACGGTAGGTACAGCTCCTGGGAATCAAAGGAGCTAATGGAGAGGCAGCGCCGTGTGAGGGAGTTCATGTGTCGGCCTGTGCACACAAAAGAGCCAGGCAGCAAGTCCATTGGAAAACACAGAATCCAGGGAGAGATCCCTGTTCCACACCTACATCTGCCATTTTAATTCCGACTTCAGAGCCGGCTGCGAGCGTTGGGTTTTTCACTACAACCAAAGCTGAAATAACCACTATTTTTTCCCTTTGCAGCGTCTGAAGAGCCTGAGCTATTTTGGGATTTGTCTGTACTACACTGAAAATGACACCTGTTACGCACAGACACAAATGAGAAGAATTACAAGCTCCTGGTTTCTCAGATATGATTCTGCAGGAAATGGAACGGGATCCTGCGAGCCAGGGACCCGGGAGAGCAGCACAGGCTCCGCTGTGGGGTGAAGGGGATGACCCTGGTGAACCGAACAGCCAGACACCAGTACAAAAAAATATAAAAAGTCTGTTGGAGCTGATGCAAGGGGAAATCAAGCCTCCATGTGACCAGAAGAAGTAGTGCATGATCAACTAAATGCCACAATACATGGTTTCTTATGCAATCGAGCCCATGGGAGTTCAAGCCTTGCACATACACTTTGTGACCAAAGCTGCGAGGATTAACTCCTTCGGTTAACGACGGCGAGAGCACCCGGCTCCTGAAATGAGTCACCCTCGCTGAAGTAGGCCAGTGTTTGCTGCCATGGGAAGCTGCCTGTGCTGGTTTCAGTTACCCCTGAGTTATCTCAGAAGCTCCAACGTGCAGGGTCAGGGCGGATTTTCCACGTTCCCCGTTTCCCCCCTGGTTTGCACCGCTCCAGCTCTGTGCAGGCAGACGGGGACCTCCTCGCTGGAGCCACGAGCCCCACGGAGCTCTGAATGAGCAAGATGAAGCACCTGGAGCCTCAGGAATGGGACAGTTGACTGGTGCTTTTAGCTCACAGCAGTTTTGTCAGTCGTGTGGTATATTAAGAAGGTAAAATGAAGCTTTGGTTTATTACAAATTATCTCTTTTCAGTTGCTTTCAGGGGAAAGGTGGCATGCATTTTATGGTTTGCTTTCATTTAAAAATCACCAGCTCTGGAATGTTTCTAGGTTTACCTGACTGTTAAGTACCTTCTGGTGGCACTCAGGCTCCCAAGAAGACTCAAGGCCACACTGCCCTGTGCACAACTAAGTGTGTAACTAAGAAGACTTGGCACAATGGAAAACTTCAGCACTTGGAAGTGAGTAATGAGGCCCAAAACAATTAAAGTCATGTTCTGATGCTGTTGGTGAGAATTTGGCATTTTCTGTAAAGAAATAGAGGCCATGATTCCATAGTAGAAATTTAGGCTACTCTTCTAAGTGGAACCCATGTACATATTTTATACTGGTTTTGGGGTTCTTTTTGCCCTTTTTTTTTTTTTCCCCCTCCAAAGTCTAAAAGCAGGAAACAGAGCTTTGGTTTTGTAAGAACTGTCTATGAGGGTACAAAGTCCTGGGCTAGAAAGCAAGCTTGGTAAATGGAAGTTGGAAGCAGAGATCAGTATCTCCATGTGAATGGCAGTGTAAGAATCCATTCCAAAACGAGGGCTCACAGCTGATCACAGCTGGGCCATGGGTTAAAAAAATTTAAAAACTTTTTATAGTGTAGACACTGGAACAAGATTTCACAACTTATAAGTGGAGCAGTTCAGGCTGGATGTTGGGGGGGAAAATTTTATCTTGAGGAGAGTGGGAAGGATGAAACCCCCAGACATCAAAAGTCTGCTGTCATTGACAGTTTTCCTCAGCACCATGAAAGGATCAGGGAACAATTCCTCAGTGAGCACAGGAAGTGTGGGCTTGCACTGCTTCTGTGCCAAACTGGACCTAAAGGTTCATCCTCAGTCCTCCGGCGTGTCCCGTGCGATTCTCCGCCGTCACGCTGCAATGACCTTAATAGCAATAACATATGGAGGCTGACATTCCAGGCATCTCCCCCTCGTGCACATCACTGCTGCTCTGCTCTTGTGGGTGATAAAATAACCTCGGCCATCCACTGAGGAAGGCCCTTGGTCTTTTTTAACAATGAAGGAAACCCTCGTGGTCCTGCCCGCACTTCCAGCTTCCTGCTGGCGAAGCCTTGGCTCGGCTTTCGGTTTAAATGCCATCGGCCACACCTTCCTCCACTGCAGGAAACACATTGTTAAAATCAGGGCATGTTCCTGTTTAACTAAAAGGCTGAGATAAATAATCCAAAGGCCCCGATTATGCCAAACAAATTCCTGCCCGAGACGTAGCAAGTCTGGGCAGCTGTAAATCTGTAACCCCCCGACCTCGGCACCCACGGAAGGGATGGCTTGGCACAGCCCCGGGGGAGCGGCTGGGGATAAAGGGAAGGAGCAAAGAATCGGGCAGAGGTGGGCAGGGGAATGGAAAAGTCCCTTCCCTTTACCAACCCCGAGTCCTAAAAGTTGCTTTAAAATGCAAAATAGTCCGTTTCTCAAGTGTTGATGTGGGGGAGCTCTTTTTCAAGACCTTTAATTTGTCGGCCTTACAAACAACTCACCACCTCAGTGAAATGACCGTTTCCTACAAAAATCTGTCTCGGCACAGAATTCCCAGCCAGCTCCATTCAGGGAATACCTTCAGAAACAGGAACATGTAGCCCATCTGCCAGGACTGTTTCCCCTAAACCTCACCAATCGGAGGGTGGGTAATTCTTAAATTTTTCTTTTGACTGTTGTCATAAAAAATCATCCTTAAAAAAACCCCTTCAATTAACTCTTTGCTGTAGCAAAACAATTGTCTGCATTGACCACGAATAAGGGAATTTTAGTTGTTGCTTAGGGAAACCAGCAAGTTTATCGTGTTTTCTTATTAGAATCAATAAAATTTTGCATATGGGAAGGCTGAGTAAAATAAAGGTTAAATAATTTGACCCACATTGTATGTGGAATCAGGGTCAAAGCTGATAGGGAGGTTTGGGTGTTCCTTGCTCCCAGATTTTATTCAAGTTGTGCCTCTTAATTATAGTCCTTATTGTCCAGAAGGCCCCCAGTCAATTAGTGAGACATAACCATCATGTGAGACAGGAGCTGCTGGAGCAGCCTGGCTTTGGGAGGAGATGGATAGGGAATTATTTCGAGGAGACACTTCCTTTCAGTTTTTAAAGCAAAGCAGAAATTAAAGTTTGAAGCCTTCCTTCTGTTTTCACGTGTGCATAGAGAACAACAGACAGTTCATGGTCTTTTAGTGCCACCCTGACAGCCACCGGGACGTGCAGATTTCCAGGAAACTGGAGACTCAGAATTCCAAAATAGGAATATTTGCTAATGCAGCAACCAGAGTCCATGAAGGGGTATTTTACAATGTTTTTCCTACTGTGACTACAAGAGAAAAGTTACAGAATCACAACAAACATTTAGGTTTTTTCTGAAAGGTTTATTGTTTTCCAGACAAATTCAATTAGTGAATTCCAGAGGTGTGGCCAGTGAGTCCTCTTCTCTGCCAGCCCAGTGCATACACATAAAATCACAGCATCCCAGAATGGTTGGGGGTGGAAGGGACCTTAAAGCTCATCTCATCCCACCCCCTGCCATGGGCAGGGACACCTTCCACTACCAAAGTTGCTCCAAGCCCTCTGCCAACCTGCCTGGTACACCTCCAGGGAATGGGGCAGCCACAGCTTCTCTGGGCAGCCTGTTCCACTTGGAACACACTGTTGCTCTCACTGGGGTCCCAACCAGCAGGAGGAAGAGCTGCAGGCAGATAAATAGCAATAAACCCCTTCTCAAACAGTTTTAAAGCTGATTCCGTGCGTCTGCTGGGGTGTGCAGGGCTGACACGGCACAGGGAGCGGGGTGGGGGGTTCAGAGTCCTGGCTGGGGGGTGGTTCAAGGGAACTGGATGGAACAGCTGGTGCTGAGATCAAAAGCCTGCGAAGCCAGAGGTGTGGGTTTGTTTCCCAAGAGCTGTCGTGGATGTGTTGGCATTGGGGAGTCATATTTGCATAAAGCGTTTGCATTCTCACTGCAAAGCCAGCCCACGCAGTAAAGCAGGCTCTGAAATGGGAGCCTGCAGGTGAAAACCTGGCCCTCCCTTTGAAAAACTGGAATCCTGGAATTTACCCTGTGAAGTCTAAGAAACTTCCAGCTGGAAAAGCCGGGATCCTTTTCAAAGAGATGGCACTACATTAACGCAGGAGCTGCTTCAAAGCAGAGCTGTGTCGGAGCCAGGTTCACGTTGTTTGGGATCCTCAGCCCGCAGCTCTGCTCTGGTCGTTGTCGTCCAGCATTCCTGGTTGGAACAGCAACGCTCCCCGGACCCCCGGCCGCTCTTCCCAGCGCTGGGAGAGGTCCCAAGAGCAGCTCAGGCTCCCCCGAGCCGCAGGTTTTTACTCAGTTCCAAACCTAAGGAGCCAAGAGCGCTGAGACAAAAGGAATTATTTCAGCTATTAGCTGCTAAGAATAGAGCCGGCGGGGGTGCTGAGGTGCCTGACAGCGCAGCCGGAGGAGCAGGGATTGCAGTGGGAGCACGGAAATAGCCCTTTTCTCCACGCTCAGCACCCGGGAGCTTCATGAGTCACTCAAACGCCCGGGCGGGGGGACAGGTGGGGTGCGGAGGAACCAACACCCTGCCCGTGCCTGGAGCAGGACGTGCCCCCGGGGCTGCGATTTTGGGGGGAAGCTCTTTTTCCCTAAGGGGAAGCATCTTCCCAACCCCCAGGCCATGGAGCACCCATGGGAGAGCACGGCTGGGGCGAGGAAAACTCGACCACTGCCCTATTCTGTGCTTCGAGGTCCCACTCCCCTTCCCGTGTCTCCCCAGGGCCACTCCTGCCATGCCACTCTCGCACGGGGCAGGAATATTTGCAAAAGCCAAACATTCCCGGGGGGGCCGGAGGAGTCTATTGATGTCGATCCAACTGTGTTCCAGGGTGTTTCCCTAAGTGCTAATCACGAAGTTCCCTTCGCAAATACATCGCAAAAAAAGGTTAAAAGACCCGCGCAGCAGATATTTAAATGCGGGGTCAGTGACTGACGAGGTGCTCAGGGATGTCTTTAACATCTTGTCCCGATGCCATTTAGCACAAATCCTGTTGGTATCGCTGCGTGTTTTTATCCAATATAGCTTGGAAGAGGCAATTTTCCTTCTGTGCTGTTTGTGCAGCCCAGGGTACAACACATTCCTGATCTATGACGAGGTTTCCAAACTCCATAGTAAAATGAATAATAATGATAGTAAACGTTGTATAACTTTTTTTTTTTTTTAATACAGCAATCTTTGTATTACTTCAGTGCTGGATTTTCCAGTTATTACACGTGGGCAAAAAAAGGACTTTTTTTTTTAAAACCACCGTATC